CTGAGCCAGCCACATCCCTAGCCCTTTATGTATCTTATTTAGAGACAGGTTCTCACTGAGTTGCTTAGCACCTTGCTGTTGCTGAGGCTGGCTTTGAACTTGAGATCCTCCTGCCTCAGCCTCCTGAATTGCTGGGATTATAGGCAAGCGCCACAGCACCTGGCACAGGACATGTTTTAAAGCAAGGTGTCACTGCAACAGCTGGCATAGCTTTCTCCCCTGGAGTATGAGCGTGTGAGTTAGATTCACAAAAGACCCTCGGGCACGGGTACTCGGCCTGGGAGAATGCTCCTTCCTTTGGTTTTTGCTTGGCAGCAGAGGACTAGTGTACCATGGGCTCTCAGCTGATGTAGGACAAGACCCGTGTAACCAAGTCAGACCTGTCTCCTGCTCCCTAGATCCACAGCAAGGTCGCGCCCTCAGAGGTGTCCTGATGGGAAGCAGCTGCGGCCTTCCTGTGCCTTGGCGCAGCCTCCTCACCCATACACCCTCTTCCTGCCAGCTTCGAGGGCTTGCTACTGGCACAACATTCATTTGAGATTATTTTCTTCCAGAGACATTAGTTTGAGAGACATTGAGAGATTGAGCTGAAAGAAATAATGTTCAAAGGCATCTTGTAAGTGCTCTTTGTTTTAATAAACATTTTTAAGAAAGATATTGTTCTTTCTTTAATTTTTTTTTTAGTTGTAGATGGACACAATATCTTTATTTGTTTATTTATATATTTATTTTTATGTGGTGCTGAGGATTGAACCCAGGGTCTCACACCTGCGAGGCGGGTGCTGTACCACTGAGCCACAGCCGCAGCCCAAGCTATTGTTCTTAAAGCTGTGTTTACTCCTTTTTGTAGAGATGAGGTTGTAGAGATGAGGTGGCAGGGTGCCCTGCAGCTCTCCCAGGGTGTGCGCAGGCTTCCATTTGAATGTTGACACGTAACAAGGAAAGGACTTTGGGGAAGTGCTAAATGCAGTGTTTTATCAGGGCAGTTGCATCTATTTCATCTGTTTCACAAGTGGTTGGCATAAAAGGAAGCACATTCAAAATGGGATTGTTTTTGTTTTTCTTTAGTACTTTAGTAATTTCTGAATTCTGTGATTATTAAACAAGCAGCTGCCATAGACTCGCCACCATCTTTGTGAACACACACACATTTCAGTCACATCTGTAATCACTTATTTTAAAGTGGTTCGAGTGGCTCCCAGAAGACCTCAACCGTAGCCCTCCTCCTTCCTTCCAGGGGTGTTAGGCTGAAGACACGCATTTTGTTCCTATGGGGCACTCAGCTCCCCAGGTTTCAGGTGTGCACCCCCCTAGTTCCTTGCTCACCTTAGTCTCTGTGGGTGCAAGTGGTAGCTGCGGGGAGAGAGAGTGACTGGTCTGGGGCCGAGACAACAGGACTTGACCTGCATTGGGTGGGCCAGCCTGAGTGGACCTGACTTCTGAAGCCTCTCCAGTGGTTCTTTCCTGTCCACTCACTGTATCCCTTGGAGATAAGCCATAGAGCAAACCTTGGAGGTGATCTCAGATCCTACATGTTACCTGCAACCCTGCAAGCTTGGAACCCACCGGTGCCTTGGGGAACGTTTGGTTCCTTTTGTAGCTTGGCTTTCTTCTCATTTGATATAAATTGCCATGTGAAGAGTCTCCTGTCTTCTACTTGTGCAACATTTGACATACACACATCTTGTAACCTATTCAAAAACAGCAGCTTGGCGATGTGCAAGAGGGCTCTCTCTGAAAGCTGGTACGCTAATGGCAGTCACCTTTCCCTGAATGTGGTCCCTCTGTCTCTCCACATTCACGCAGACCCCAGCCCATCACCTCCTGTCTCCTCATCAGTTGTTTGCTCTTCGATCTTGATGTCCTTTAAGGACAGTTCTAGATTTTAATGATAGCTGAGGGACCAGCGTCTGCTGCTGGTGGCCAAGTGGACCTTGTCTTGACGCTGCTGCCCACGCCGTCCTCCTCAGTGCAGGTCACCTCTCCAACCTCCCTCATCACTGCGGTCTTCACCCCTTGTTTCAGCTTCCTTCTGCTGTGGCTCTGGAGCAGCTTCTGTTTGAGGTCCCCAGATGGTCCCCAGAATCTCCTGTCCACAGCTTGGTCCAGCACTGTCGATCCTGTTTCCTGTGTCTGCTCCCTGGCTCTCGAGAGCCTGCCTGTGACTTTACGTGTAGTTCTGAGGCCTTGTGTGCGTCCACGGTGGCTTCTGCATGTCCTGCCCTCTCGGCTCTGTACCCCTCCTGAAGGGAATGTGGATGTCCTGCACCTTGCTGGATCTGCCACACTGGCTTGGGCTCGACTCAGGGTCCCTGAGTTGGCATCAACGCAAACACATCTGTGGTCCACTTCCAATCACCCTCACTTCCTGGCACAGATAACGTCCTCCCAGCCCTTAGGATGTCTCTTTTTCTCTCTTTCAATTTCCTTGATCAATTTTTCAAGTGGTTCTCTCTTAAAATCCAGTGAGATGTACATTCACTCCTTGGACCCAGGCACCTGACCCTTCCCTAAGGTCCTTCGGATTCCTCTTGGTCTTTGTCCCCACAGCTGGCTTTGCTCTCTATGCTGCGGTTTTTTTTTTTTTTTTGTCCTGGGGATTGAACCCAGGGCTGCCTTACCAATTACATTCCCAGGACCCTCCCCAGCGCTTTTTTTTTTTTTTTTTTAAATGAGACACACTCTTTAATAAGTTGCCCAGCTGACCTCTACCTCGCTGTCCTGCCTCAGCCTCCCGAGCTGCTGCAGGTGCAGGCGAGTCCAGCTCCCTGCAAACATTCTTGCTCACACTTTCTATTTTTCTCTCACTTCTTGCCCACAGTTTTGTCTGCACTTAATTGTCAAGTGAAGCTTCCTATAAAGCTGTTTTTTGTTCTTACCTTCATTCTTGCTCAGTCCCTTTAGCTATATATTCATTTGCCCATGTAGTTTTTTATGTGATGTACTCAGCAGGTATTAAAGCCACCTTGGTGCTTATTAAGAACATAAGAATGAGTAAAACAAGCAAGATACGTCTTTTACAAAGCTGTGTTCTAACTGGGGAGACACCTAGAAATGAACAGACACCTAGAAATGAACAAGTGACATTGTGAGAAGTGCTCTGGCTCTCCTCCCTCCTCCCTGTCCTTCTGTGCTGAGGCTCTCAGTGACTGGGTGACAGAGTGGAGGACCTGACACTGCACTTGTGCACAGCCTTTCAGCAGGGGTGATGGATGGAGGCTGTTGGTAGTGTTTTAGGCAGGAAGAGCAAAGGAAGGAGCCATGCTAGGGTCTCTGGGGAATGTTGAGCGATGCAGCAGGGTGAGGGCGGAACCCAGACTGGGAACCACCTGCTGGGAGCCGTGTACAGGAGGCTCCCACCATCTCACATCACACCCTGTATCTCAGTGGCACTCACAGAACACCAACAAGCAAGGCAGTGGTACCCTGTTTCTCAGGGGAAGGAACTGAGAGTGGACAAGGTTCTTTAACCAGGTCACAGAGCCGTCAAGTGGTGTGACCATGGCATGCTCACTGTGGGCTGGGCTGCTGTTGGTGCAGCATGCGGCCCAGTGTCCTGTGCTGTCGTGATGAGCACAGAGACCGTTCTAGATTGCCCTCCTCCCCACCATCCCCGTGTGGACTTCTGGCTCTGCAGCAGGGTCTGTAGCATGTTGTCTTGCCCGAGGTGCCTGCCGTGTAGAGTTGACTTTGGTCAGTCTTCCCATCACCCCGCACACAAACATTTATGTTAGGGTCTTCTGACGAAGCCTTTGCTGGAAGCAGTTGCCAGGGTACAGGATGGGCCCTGCCCGAGGTTTGTAGTTTTCAGATTTGAGCCCAAGTTCCCTGATAGATGAGCAAGGTGGACAAGTAAATGGCTTCTAGCAGAGTATGACAGAAAAGAGGCATGGCCCTGAGGCAGGCGTTGCACATGGAATGAGGGACAGAATAGAGGAGGCAAAGAGCCACGTGACAGCTGCAGGACGCACAGGCTCCATTCACGTCTGCAGAGGCAAAGTGCTGTTGGTGCCAAGTCCCTGTAAGTGGCCTGCGACTGGGGCCCCAAGCACTGGAGTCTGCCACTCTTGGCTGCGGCCATTACTAATGGTGACACAGTGCCCTTGTGTCCCCAGGAGAAGTGTTCCTCCCCCAAGCTCCTCAGAATACAATGCTGGGCAGCAGGGAAAGCGCCTGGCCTGGACAGAGATGTGCCAGGCGATGGCAAAGGAGGCATATGAAGGGCGGGGCTGCAGAGGGTATGGAAGGCCAGGGCCAGGGAAGGCCAGGGCCGGGGCTGGGGAGCCAGGAAAACGCCCACAGCCAGGTGGATATTCCCCTGGCTGAGCTGGGCACCCCGTGGTGTGTGTATCCGCGCTTCTGTAAGGCCAAGACCAGATGATTTCCCTTGGGGGAAGAAGAGCCACATTCTCTGTTGGGGTGGGGCAGGGTCACTAGGCAAGTGAGGGGGCAGCAGAACAGGTGCGGCTTAGGATCAGCCACCACACCAATGAGACCCCCGCTCCTAACTGTTTTGTCACTTGAAAATAAATATAAATGTCTCATACCGTCATGTCAGAAGTAAATGAAATATTTTGCTACAGTATTGAAGATCCTAGTAGGAATTTTCTCTAAATATGAAACATAAACCATCACTGCATACCTAAAACCAAACTTAGTAAGAAATACCATTTTCCTTTATGAAAAAGTTCAACTGGATGTTATGTTACATGATATGAGATTAATACCATGTTTAGCCTTAAATAATGAAAAGTTTTTCAGTAGTCAGAACTTACTCTGTGTTGTTTGCCCACCTCAAATGCTCCTATGAAGACTGCAGGTCGGTCGACACCTTTTTCTTAAGGTTTAGCAAGTTCCAGACTGGAACACCATGGCTGGTGGAGGTGGAGGCGTCCCACAGGGTAGGGACGGCTGCAGGTGCTGCTCTGGGATTCAAGACTGAGCTGGGCAGCTCCGCCCCTGTGCACAGTTTCAGAACAACCACATCCCCCGCTTTTCAGGATGAGTCCTCGAGTCATGAATGTAACCAGCGCACAATCCTCCTCTACGGAGTGGGCAAGGAGCGCGAGGAGGCCCGGCACCAGTTGAAGAAGATCACCAAAGACATCCTGAAAATCCTGAACAAGAAGAGCACCACAGAGACAGGCGGTAAGGCCTCCACGCACAACTCCCGCAGGGCCTGCTGTCCCCCCTCTTTGCAGCGTTTATCAAAATGCTCTGTGTCACTGTCTCCAGTGTGTTTCCTCTCACTGATGACTGTCACATTGAAATATGAATAAGCACATTTAAGTATTTAGAGCTGGAGTCCATTAGTAGCAGTCTTTGGATTAACAGGCCATCGTGTAAAGGTAGATGCAGGTGATTTTTATTCTGTACCTTTCTAATCTGGACCAGAGTTTCCAGGTAGTAATGAAGGGACTCCTGAGGCGGAGTGGGAAGACCCCAGTCTAGAGGAGCTCCCCCTCCCCATATCTTTTCTGCCATTACCCCGGCTCGCAGTTTGCTTTGCTGTGGGCACTGACGCACACACGACAGTCACAACCATCACAGTGTAATTGCTGGTCTGTTCTTAGTGACTCAGAAGAGGAACTCAGTGGGTATGGAAGCCACAATGTCACCAGATAATCTCAGCTAGAAGGGAAAATTAGGCCTTTGCAGGTAATGGCCTTGTCACTTGCAATTCTTTCTCTGTGTTTTTTTGTAGTTTTTATAGTGAAGCCATATCTTTATGTGGTGTCATCACCTTGCACAATTGGACCTTTGTAGTTATCCTTTTCAGATCTGCTTAATTGCTTTTTCAAGGTTTATTTCATTATGCAGTCATATGATTTAAAATATGATATCATTATACACACACACACACACACACATATACATCCCTTCCACTCATTTTTTTTTTCCAAATCCTTCAGGAATATGAAGAAAGAATGTCTACATTTTCAAACAGCCTTCTTCCTGCCTGTGGCATAAGCCACCTCTCAGCCCCTGGCCACTCTGCTGTGGACCTCTCCACGGGGCATTCAGTCTTAATTTTTTAACAGGCAAAATTACTAGAGCTTATTTTTCTAGATCTTTCCTAGAGAGAATAAGTAATCCAAAACAGCACAAGTAATCCAAACAGCCTCTCTTTCTTCCAGTAAGGGGTGTGTACAGGCATGAAAAGGGCTTCGTGTCTCCTTGGTCTGCTTGGCTCACCTTCCCTCACCCCTTTCACAGCTGGGGAAGGGCCTCACAGTGCACCCGCACTTGGTGGGAGTAGCCACGAGCTGTGCAAATGAGACTTTTGGTGTTCTAGAGCTTGCAGAGGAAAGTGCTCTAAGAAAACTATTTATATTATTGGGTTGTTTTCTCTCTTAGAGAAAAGAGGAAATGAGTTTCAAGAGAAGATTGAATTGAGAAGCCTTGAAACTAGCTAGCAAACAATATTTGAGACTTCTGTTGGTGTGCTTGGAAAGGGGATGGGGTCACTGTCTCCTTTAGGTGAAAGTCCTGTGGCTCAGTCTCAATGACTTGCAGAGGGTACCCAGGTCTGCGTAGAGTCTGGGTTTGGAAGGCTGGAGGAGGTGGAAGGGAAGGAAGTGGGTTGGCCATTCATGTGGAAATGGCTTCCTTCCTTCATGGTTTTTAGAGCCAGACTATTGTCTGTGCTATCTTTGTAGCAGTCCCTGAAGTGAAGGCACTTCTAGCCCCTGAACTTGGAAAACCATTGTTCTCTGTGCCTTCTGAGATGTCAGTAATGGAAACCCACCGCGAGCAGCCTCCTCCATCCTCCTGTCTTTCCTTCATTTTAGATAAAACTCCTCAACCAGAAAGATGTCAGTCAGGGATGCAATAAGTCTCCTCTGGTTAACAGCCTGCATGTGAAGTCATTGCTTGTCATTTAGTATGAGCACCAGAGGCTGGCCAGTTATACTCAGAGTAATGGAAATTTACCCTTCCTCTTTTTTTTTTCCTGGAAAAATGAAGACTGGTAGGGAGAAAAGAGCTTGTGTTAGCATTTATTTCAGTTCAGGGAACATAAAATAAGATTTTGATACTGGGTGTGGTGGTGCCTGCCTGTAATCCCAGCAACTCCCAACTCCCAGAAGCTGAGGCAGCATCATTGCAAGTTGGAGGCCCACCTTGGCAACTTGATGAGACCCTATCTCAAAAAAAAAAAAAAAAAAAAAAAAAAAAAGGCTGGAGATGTAGCTCAGTGGTTCTCAGAGGTTTCTGCCCTCAACCTCCCCACTCCTCCCCACCCCTCCCCACCCCCTCCCTGCAAAGAAAACAAAAAAAAAAAAAAAAAAAGGAAGGTTTTATGGTTCCAAGCCATTAATAGTGTTGTTAGATCAGCCAGGTCTTACCCAGAAGAATTTCCAATCTAGTAGCATTTTCATTGGAACTTGCTCAGACTTCCTTCTGCATTTGCATGAAAACATTAATGAATTTTATTAGAACTATTTGTTTAAAAGGCCAATAATATCAGGGCTTAAACATTTTCAAATGAAAATTAAGCAACAAAAGATCAATAATATATGTTATGAAAGCAAGTTAACCTAAAATAGATAGGGGAAATATATAATTATGACTATATTTTAGTCACACAAATATCATTCAAATAAATATTAAGAACCACTGCTAATTTGTTACCTTTTTTTTATTTTTTAAAAAAGTGGATGTAAATTTCCAAGAGTACTTTGCATCCTTTTACATGAGGTTTTAAGCAGTTTGTTATATTTAGGTATATGGAGCCTATCTGCAGAAACAGAGGTGTGTTTTGGATTTCTTAGCTGGATCTATGAACTCAAGTCTGTTGGTTTTATGTATTGGTTTTGTCCCAGGGAAGGACTGAATTAATACATTAACTTCATTTTTAAAGCAATTTGTATGCCCAACTACTGATGTGAGCTCTTCAGCCTGGGATCAATGATGATGTTAGATAATGAAAAGTATCTATTTAAAAAGTCAGGAGTTTGAGTAAATGGAAAATAACCTATGTGTTTTATGTTCATTTAGTTGGGGATGAAGGGCAAAAAGCCAGAAAGAACAAACAAGAAACATTTCCAACCCTGGAGACGGTGTTCACAAAACTCCAACTTCTGTCATATTTCGATCAGCATCAAGTGACGTCTCAGGTAGCCATTTAAAACTATCTTCTTATGTATTGCATGTGTCACCGTTTCCTGAAAAGTCCCTTTTGTGCAATATGTGTTTTCAGCCTTCATGAATTTTTTCACATGAATATGTCACTGTGCCTGGCAAAGGGTGCTTTTTTTAAAAAAAATATTTTATTTTTGTAGTTGTACTTTATTTTTATTTATTTATTTTTTGTGGTGCTGAGGATTGAACCCAGCGCCTCGCACAAGCTAGGGGAGTGCTCTACCGCTGAGCTCCAGCCCCAGCCTTCATGAACTTTATACATATATAAAACTATACAGTTTGTAGATGGACACAATACCTTTATTTATTTATTTTTATGTGGCGCTGAGGTCAGTTCCTCACCCATGATAGGCAATTGCTCCACCACTGAGCATCAGCCCCAGCCCAGGAGCTTGTTTTTATTATGTAACCACTTTTACCTTATGTTAATAATCAGTAATATATAAAATAATCCCTAATGCAAGGCTGATGTTATGACTCCCTGGCCCCGTAGCACACATGTCAATGATTAAAATGAAATGCCATGACATTGAGAAGAAACCAAATCTATTTTATTTTACAAATCCTTTGATGGTTATTTAGACACATCGAAAAGCTGTTTGAGGGGCCGGTTCTGTGGCTCAGTGGTAGAGCGCGTACCTCGCACATGTGAGGCTCTGGGTTTGATCCTCAGCCCCACATGAAAAAAAAAGAAAGATATTGTATCCATCTATAACTAAATAAAAAATAAAAAAAGCTGTTTGATCTGTACATGGTTTTGGTTTCTGTGAAAATATGTTTTAATTTTCATCTAGTAGAATGTCATAAATTCCATGTCTTAGCGAAGTAAAATAATTTATCTAAAAGATGGTTTGGGAATCGGTGTGTGACGGCCTCACTCTGTCTGCTCAGATCTCTAACAACGTGCTGGAGCAGATCACCAGCTTTGCTTCAGGGACGTCCTACCACCTCCCGCTGGCCCACCACATACAGCTCATCTTCGATCTCATGGAGCCCGCACTGAACATCAATGGACTCATTGACTTCGCTATACAGGTGTCAGAGAGACCGCGTTTCCTTAACTTTGGGAGAGCCAACCTATCAGGCATTGCGGAATTTATGTTTTAAAATGTATTATTTTTAAATTAAAAAAAATTGAGACAGGGTCTCATGGTGATGTCCAGGCTAGGCTTAAACTCCAGCTGGTCTTCATTGATCCTTCTGCCTCAGCCTCCTGAGGGCTAAGATGACAGGTCTATGCCACCACGCCTAGCCTAAATTTATTTAAAATTGACACTCAAAACCATAAAAACTGTTCATATATAGTTTTATGTAAAATATACAAATAAATAGGGGTTCTGTGTAATATTTCTATGAACGTACACATTGTACAATGTTCGTTCCAGGTTAAACATAACTTGCCTCATGGAATATTTATCATTTCTTTACAGTGAAAATTTTCAAAATCCCTTCTTCCAGCTCTTTGAAATGTGCAGTATGTCCTGGTTACCTGTAGCACCAGAACGTCTTGCTTCCGACTGTAGCTCAGTGCCCATTGATCAGCTTTCCCCATCCCTCCCCTATCCCACTCCTCCTGGCCTCTGTTGGGCACCTCAGCCCATTTGAATGGAACCAATTGCTGTTCATTAACACAGTTGTGAGGACCAATAAAGTCCTTAAAATTTGATTTAGCTTGTTTCTTTATTTCCTAGTATTATTAGTGAATGGATTTTAACCTTGATTTCCTTATTCTGTAGTATATATCAGCTTCACTGATCTATTCCAGTACTTGGGGCTGCCTGGCACTGGGTGCTTCCTCATCTTACACACCCTCGTGTCCAGACAGAAGAACACAAAGTTCTTGTATAAACAGGCTTAAAAATAAAAAGATGTCTGATTCATGAGTCCACGTTCTCCACTGCAGTGGCGCACAGCACGGAGTGCTCATGGTTGCTGAGACTGGTTCTCCTTTGTGTTGTGGCACCTGCATTTTTTCATTCCTTCTCTGTTCTTACAGTTGCTGAATGAGCTGAGTGTCGTGGAAGCCGAGCTGCTCCTCAAGTCCTCCAGCCTGGCAGGCAGCTACACCACGGGGCTCTGCGTGTGCATCGTGGCCGTTCTCAGGCGCTATCATAGTTGTCTGATCCTGAATCCTGAGCAGACAGCCCAGGTGTTTGAAGGGTTGGTATATAAAATGCCACCGTTTTTCAAATCCGAAAGTGTCTGGTACTATTAAGAGAACAATAGTGCCTGTTTTTATTTCAATTAAAACAGTTAAAAGAATACTCCTGCCACCAAGGCTCTATCAGAGGAGGAGACAGAATCACTTTTCTGGTTAAGCCCGAGGCCTTCCTCCTCTCCCTCCTCCTTGCTGCCTTCCTGATCACGCCCTGGTTTCTAAGAACGGGAGGCTGGTCATTGATGGCCTCCATCCTTCATGCTGCCCAGCATCCTGGCTCATTAAGAGGGAATGCTTGTAACTTCTCTTTTCCTGTAATTTTGGTTTTTTGGAGAATCCAACACCAAATACAGCTTTGCATTCATTGTCAGTGAAGTGATGCTTCAGTTTCATCTTTGTGATTCACAGCATCTTTTGACAAGAGCTAACTTAGAACCAGTGTCTTTGTTTGTTCTTGGTGTGTTGTGTGCTTTTGGTTTGTGGCTGTTATAGAGTTTGCTCTGCTGCTGCCAGTGGAGTTGATCTGAGGAGATAAACCTGCTCTGCCCATCAGAGACAGAGGCTCGGGGGCCCAAGGTAAGGTAGAGCCAGCCCCGCTCTGTCCACTCCCCTTTCCCCCACTGGGCTTTTTACACAAACACAGCCTCCCATTTTTCTTTTTTTTTTTTTTCCTCCTAAGCTCAAAAGAAGAGTTCTTTGGTGCAGCAGTGACTGTTTGCTGTGATCTAGCACATGTGATTGACTATGTTGTTCCTCAGGTGGCCTCGGTGGAGCAGCAGCTTTCTGGGGCACATCAAATGGTACCTTTTGTGTATGTTAACTGTACACTTAGATTAGGAAGTGAAGTCTGAAATATCTCAGAAACTTTACTATGCAAGAGCATATCTATCTTTGAATTTTAGTATCATTTTATAGGTCAAGAAACTGGGACTTGGGCATTTTAAATAAAGGGTTTGGTAGGTAGTGTAGCAGTGTATGTTGTCCAATATAACATAGACAATGACTCTCACGGCTTTTAACAGGTCTTCCTGGTTGGGAGTTTATTCCTATTATTCAAGCTATATCATACTTTAAAGATTGTGCATGGAAATCCTCTAGTTGTTCATGAAATCATTTTGTTGAGTTGTGACAAGTACAGGTTTGGTTTGTTTGCAGTGCTGGGGAACTGAGCCAGGGGCCTGGTGCGTGCTGGCCAAGCGTTATCCTGCTAAGCTACATCCCAGCCCACATGACAAGTGTTTTTGCTTGACTGTGTTTTATGTTTTAACTTGAAAAGAATTTTAGTATCATTGATTTTTACATTTTAAATTTACATACTATTGAATATTCATAAAATTATGTTTGACGTTTCCTTTTCTTTTTACTTGATTATACGTAGTAAGGGTAAATATTTTTCCTCAAATGATGACATTAGTTTTTTTGTACTTATGTGAGTGGTCATCCAGAATCACAGTGTGATGCCTTCCTCACCTCCAGCAAGTCAGAGAAGTTGAGAAAACACTACTACACCCTGGCTAGCTGACCATTTCTCACGTGTTTGTTTCCTTTAGACACAGTAGAATTCTTGGCTTTAGGATGTATCGGGATCTCTTTTGTTTATGTAGTCAACCACAATTCCAGTCACTACTTTTAAAAATGATTGTGTGAGGTTTTCCTCTAATGGTCAGCTTCATTCTCTGCTGGCTGGCCCATCTCTCACTGTTCCTTGCCAGGGTTTGGGATGCTCTGGGCATTTCTTCAGGTAGTCCCGGGGTCCCCCTTGGCACCTGTACTCCTGCTGTCCATTGTGGCTTGGGCCCTGCAGATGCTTCTGCTTCCCCTGTCCCCTCAGCATGGAGAGGTCTAGTCTGGGGGGCCCAGGCTCTCCTCCCCTTCTGCTGTGCGCTGGCTGCCTGCCCTGCTGCAGGCCCTTCACCTTTCTGTGCCTGGGAGCCCCTTTTTATGGTGATGGTGGTGGGTGAGAGTACTGGTCCCATCACCTTGACTCCTGTGGTGTGGTGTCCTGGGGAGACCCACAGCAGAAGGCCTGGTGGAGGAGCCAGACTCCCACAATCGGGCCCAGTGAGTGCCCGGGCGAGTTCACCTGGGCGTGGGAGAAGCATAGACAGAGGCCTTTGCCTGGCGGGTCACACAGAATTGTATGCGTGACGGGGTGCTTATGACCCTAGTGGTCATAGAGGATGTCACTATGAAAAGAGGTAAACCGAGATCAATTTTTTTCCAGCTTGCCTCCCAACCTGCATTCCCCAGTGATGCCAGATCCAGCCCAGAAATGGAGGTCTCCCAGGGTTATTTCCTGGAGCTGCTGCCTTACAAAGGCTCAGGCCCATTTGTGACTCAATTCAATCAGCAGGTCCTCCCCTCCACCTTTCCACCATGTCCCTGTCAAAGGGCTCAGTGCTTCTTCAAGTACAGCTTGCACACCATCTCTCGTTGTCTTTGTTTCTTGAAGTTGTATAGCATTTCTGTACCTCCTCAGAATATTGGCGTTCAGAGATTCAGTTTGCTGTGCTGGTCATCGAGTCGTATGTGGGCACCTCGTTCTTGAAGCCTTGGGTGAGGGTGCACTACTGTGTGGGCCTCATCTGCCTGTGTCTTGTCCTCAGGTTGTGCGGTGTGGTGAAGCACGTCGTGAACCCCTCAGAGTGCTCTTCCCCCGAAAGATGCATCTTAGCCTACCTCTACGACCTCTATGTGTCCTGTAGCCACCTCAGAAGCAAGTTTGGAGACCTCTTCAGGTGGGTAGAAGAAAGTCCAAGAGTAGCAATGGGATCACAGCTGTGTTTGTCTGTGACTCTACCAGTGTTAGTAGCCTTTTTCATAATGAAAGGTGATCATGGTTATTTTTGTCCGGTGCTAATTTTGATAAACTCAAGATTTGATGAAACTGACTATTAAAAATACATAGTGGCAATGAAAGGTAGACCGTTAAACTATGAGTTGGTTTCCTCCCTCCCACCCCCAGATTGAAACGACTTTAGTCTATAACCATCTAACCTTGGCTAATTTTGTGTCTTCAACAATCAAAGGATTTTTTCTTTAAAAGTTTTTTTTGTTGTTGTTCTTGCCGGGAATGGTGGCACAAGCCTGTAATCCCAGTGGTTTGGGAGGCTTAGGCAGGAGGATCACAAGTTCAAAGCCGACCTTAGCAAAAGCAAGGAGCTGAGCTACTTAGTGAGACCCTGTCTCTAAATAAAATACAAAGTAGGGCTGGGGATATGGCTTAGCGGTCAAGTACCCCTGGGTTCAATCTCCAGTACCCCCCCCCCAATTTTATTTTTATATTCTCTATAACTTTTACAGATATAGTTTATTTAGGTAAGTCATATTGGAATGATGATAAATATTTAATAAATCTTTATATTTTAAATTTGAAATTCAATTTGAATCATGAATCTAGTAGGCGATTAATGAAGCAGTATTTGGTGTTTTTCTGGGTTCATATTCCTCCTGGCATTGATATCCCCATTTTTTGACCTGGCTTTTTATGTTACTTTGGGTGGATTTAATACCCTCTGCACATCTTGAAGTTACAAATTGCTTTCATTTCTTGGTTAGGCATGGAAGGTTCTGTAACTCCATTTACTTCTCCACAATTTTTCCAAACAGTTTTTCATTTTTTTCCTCTCTTAAAAAATTTACTGTTTAGTACGTCCTATGACTTACTAAACAGTAAATTTCATGTGAATTAGGTTTTTATATAAAAAAATTACTAGTATTTTCATGAGTAGCATTAAATCAACATGCATCAAAAAATGCAAGACGACCTAATTTGTATTTTGCATTGTGTTTGTATTTAGGCTCAACTTAACTCATTTCTTGATATACAAGAAATATACCCTAGTTAATCATTAAGAAGATATTGTAAAATCTGCAGTTAACCTACTTGCTATCTTAGTCTTCATAAATGCTGCAATTGTTGGTTCATGAATGTTTTTTCTATCAATAAATCTCACTGCTTAAGGAATGCTTTATGTTAATGAGTCCAGGATATTTTATATGTAGAAAAGATTTTTTTTATTTTCTCAACCCTTATCCAGAATTCCTATTAAATTACCTTCTGCTGTAGGTATCATCTCCCATTTCCAAGTAGTACTACGTCTGTTTAGCTCTGCAACTTTGAGATAAACCTGGGGGAAAGCATTTGAATTTCCCTTTCCTGGCCTCCCTGGGAGTGCTTTTGTGGGGCTGTTTTCTTGCTTGCTTCTGCACTTCCTCTGTGTCTCTACTTCCTTGACCACCTATTTCAGGTGGCATGTCCACCTCCCTCTCATTCCCTGGGTCTCAGCCTTGCTCAGGGGGCTCAGGTAGTCAGGTGCTAGGAAGTAACTTTAGATAATTCATTCTAGGATAAAGTAATATCTGGCCAAAAGAAATTTGGAATCCTCAGGAAGAGCAAGGAAGAGGTGGTCAGCAGTTGTCTGTCCCTTCTGTGCCCTGTTTCATTTGGGTGAATCCTATGAGCCCTGCCTCCCCAGTACCTAGAGTCCACTACTCCTTGGTGCCCTCGTCACTGCCGCTCTGATCGTCCCTTGCAGGGCCCCATGCAGAGTCGCCCCAGCTGGCCTTCCTGCTTCACACCTTGACCATGTCCACTAGAGTCACCCGCTTAAAGCATGGTGTCTCTTGGGTTCCCAGTGCTGCCTCGCCTCCTGGCCTTCGCTGTGTGCAGTGCCCTGCTCTATTCTGCTCCCCTTCTCCTCTGTGTGCTCTGCTCTGACTGCCCGGCCCTCCCCCTGCTCCTTCCTCTGATGTGTAAGCTTGCATCCACCTTGGGCTTTCACACCTGCTCTTAACTTGCTCGTGGCACTCACTCATACACTCACCCCACACTTCCTCACCTCCGCCTCCCTGACCACCCTCTGCTCATTCTCAGCATCTTAGATGGACTCAAGATTTGATTAAACTGAATATTCAAGGGCATTGTGTATTGATCCTGGCCTGCTTCCAGGAGAGCAAGAGGCCGCCTGCTTTGCTCACCACTATAGCTGTGCAGCTCCTAGGGGGCACAGCCAAGGCAACAGACATCAAAAAGTCATATTTAACAGTACTTACAAAAATACAAAAATGTTATACCTCGTAATGCATTAGATGGAGCAAGCCTTTGTAAATCATCTGAGTGAGTCTTAGGAAACCCCTTTCCACAGAGATGATGTAATCTTAGAACAATATTCTTCTGTTACTCTGTGTGGAGTTTTCAGTTTCAGTTTAGAGTTTTGTGAGCTTTCTCATTCATGCTGTGGTTCCTGCTAGCTCTTGTCTGATGGTGAACTTCCCCTGACCGCCCCCAAAGCTTATTTAACCACCAGTGCTCCCCCACTGCAGTGCAGGTAGGCAAGGTGAGTTCATTCAAGCGCTATGCCAGGAACAGGGACTTAGGGGACCCGCAGCGCAGTGTGGTGTTCCAAGGACCATTCCTTGGTAAGGGGCAGGTGCACTTTCTAACGATTCCATAAAGCAGCGGGGAGAGGTGTAGCTTTCTTGGGCTGTCTTTTGCTCCCCCTTTCTTTGTTTTGAGACAGATTCTCACTGTGTTGCCCAGGCTGGCTCTAAACTGTGGGCCCAAGTGACCCTCACATGGGGCTCTGCCTGGCTGGGCTGCTGGCACACACCACTGCGCCTGGCCTCTCGGGATCAGAGATCGATTTGTAGTTTGGAATTTGGTAAAAAAGGACCATCAGGCAGAGATTTCCATTAACATACTGATTAAACAATTGGATCATTTTGTCTGTGATATCATCCAAGCCACCCGTGAGAGGAATATTGTGGAACAGGGAATAAATTGAATGCCAGGGCCATCTACCGGGCACTGTGCTGGGCACACTGCTTGAGCACTCACAAGAACCAGGAAGTAGAAATGGCTTTCCCCAGGAACAAAGAAGTGTCCTGGCCTTAGTTAACAGTGAGCAATCCTGGATCTGAACAGGCTCTGAGGCTGTACGCTGCTGTCCCCAGCCCTCCAGGTCTTTCTGCTCCTTGTAGCCGCAGAAGGAAAGGTCTCAGCCATTGGCTTGGTTTCCTCTGTGCAGGCAGCAGAATGTGAGGATTGGCGTGGCCTAGCTGGTCGCCAGCATTTGATTCAAACACAGAAACCCATCTAGAAAGTCTGTACTAAAGAACACAGGAAGCCTCAACATGCAGGCTGAGAAGACCTCACCACTAGCCAGGTTCAGAGGGACCCTGCAGTCCACTTAGAGAAACCTGCCTCCTGGAAGGGGAGGGGTGGGGCTCATAAACCAGAAGCAGAGCAGAAGAGCTGGGATTCTAAAGACAGACTGGAGAAACTGATAGAATTAAATGAAGAGTTGAATGAAAAAGAGGTAAAGCTTTAAAATTTGTAGAAGTCCCTTGTACTAAACACTCAAGGCTTTGGAAGGCAGAGGAAATGAGGGATATGGTCGAGGGGAAACAAGGGAGGGTCTGGTCTGGGTTTCATTTTTAGTGGGAACGTGAATGTAGTAAGTGAGAGTGAATAAAGAGTAGTCAGGAAGAACAGGTGGGTAGAAGCACCGGGACCACAAAATGACTGTCATTTTCAAAATACCACAATTCTCTTTTGCCAATTTATATCCCTGCATGATGGCCAACAAGTTTTTTACAGAAGTCCTTTGCAAAGAAAGAGAAAAAATATAGAGGATAGTAATTATTCGGTTTGTCATTTGATCCTCTCGGTGACACCTGGGCCTCCCTGGCATCATTTGGCACTGGAGTCATTTGGGAGCCCTTGTTAAACACACAGCTCAGAGTACCTGTGTGAGACCTAGGAATCAATATTTTAACCAAACAGCCCAGAAGTGGCTCTGAAGGACGAGGGCTGAGCTGAATGGTCTCGATTTCTGACAGCTGTTGGCACTGACAGTGCTTCAGGATAAAGCATCCACATGCCTTTGTATATTTGAGGTACTCATTCCTGGCTAATGTAGGTGCATAAAAAAGCTGTATATCGCCTTAACCACGAATCAGTTTGCTGCCCAAACTTAATCTTAAGAGCAGCCTTTCTGTTGCGCTGAAGAGCTCTTGAGTAGAGCACTTGAATTTGCTCATGGACTTGCTATCTGCAGCAGATGGGCAGGAATGGCTGAGTTCATATGCAATGTGAGCTTTGAAACTGGAGCATCTCAGTGCTGGCTATGGAGTAAATCCATCCACATCCCTTGATGCTTCTGTTCTATCTTTGCTCAGATGTAGCTCATGAAAACCTCAAATATTTCGCACGATAAACCAGGGTCTTAAAAAAACTTTGCCGCTGTTGAGAAACACTTAGGGATGACGTGACCAGTTCTTTGCTCTTGTACAATTTGCCTGTTATCCAGAGCCCCCTGGCACATTGCAAGCTCCCTGAAGTCAGGAACATGCCTTTCCTTTCTCTGCTGTGCCACAGTCCCATAGTCACATGTCTTACTTAGCATGCAAATTCCGAAGGCCACAGTGTCCCTAGAGGAGGAGGTCTTTGGCATGTGCCATCAGGACTACAACACCACATTATTCTGATGTGTAATTGAATCTATTTTTATTCTTAAGAATAGTTGCAAATGTTGCAAACTTGAGTTAGTTGTTGGAAGCCTTAGTAAGTTCTGTGATTTATAGAGCTTGTAAACTGTAGAAAGTCATTTAAGATTAGTTATCAGCTTTCTTAAGTGAAATGGTTTTCCTATTATTCTAGTTTTTGTTTTTCCTTTTTAACTTCTCTTCTTGTAACCTCAGTAGTGCCTGTTCTAAAGTAAAGCAAACCATATATAATAATGTGATGCCTGCAAATTCCAACTTGCGATGGGATCCCGACTTCATGATGGATTTTATTGAGAATCCCTCAGCTCGAAGCATCAACTACTCAATGCTGGGCAAAGTCCTCAGTGACAACGCAGCCAATCGCTACAGCTTTGTCTGCAACACGCTTATGAATGTCTGCATGGGCCACCAGGATGCCGGCAGGTGAGCCGGGCTACCGGGAAGGCATCACTGACAAGGACTTGGGTGACTTGGGACTTCTTTGAAACAAGTGTCTAGTAAATGTCTGGGCTCACACCTGCCTTTCATTTGCTACCCTGACTCTATCTTATTTTATTCATTATTTATTTACCTCTGTTCTGTTCAAAAATTTTCTTAACCTGAGAAATGCCTGCTTATGTCTTCTTGCTTGGGCATTGGATGTTTTAGGTACTGTCTATTAAGTTATAGTATGCATTTTCCAAAAAAATGTATATAATAAAATACCTATATTTTGAAAACTACTATATTTGAACTTTTAAAAAGGAAAAATGTGATTTAATGAAAACAGAAGGGAGACCAGTAGCACAGTGGATGGGGTTGGGGAAGAGGAGAGAGGGAAAGAAGAGATACTGGCCAGAGGACTTGACAGGATCATGTTATGTGCATGTGCAAAGATAGCATGATTAATCCCACTATTGTGCATAATTGCAACGCATAACGAAAATGTCAATTTATAGATCAGGTCTGTTCACAGAGCTAAAAATGTTCTAATTCACATGTGTACTGGTAATTGTTTGTCACTTAATAGTGTTGATTATTCAACAACGTTTGAAGTTGTTAACATATACCTTTGCTCGGGTTCCAGTGTATCTGACAGGTGGGTATTGCTTACATCCTTCTGTCTAAGAAGCAGAAGGCTTGTTGCTGGTAGTGAAATGTGCTCATGGCTATGCCACGCGCGGTCACCATCCTGCCGACTGCTCACTGCCCAACTCTCTCCTCCTTAGGATTAACGACATAGCCAATTTCTCCTCCGAGCTGACCGCCTGCTGCACTGTCCTCAGTTCAGAATGGCTGGGGGTTCTGAAGGCTCTCTGTTGTTCTTCCAATCACGTGTGGGGGTTTAATGATGTACTTTGCACTGTGGATGTAAGTTTTCTTTTTTGTTTAAAATTGTGTAATTCAAAATTTAGTTAGTGGGTAATCTGTTTTTTAAAAATTATTATGTACTTGACTCCGTTTTAACATTGTAAAATATTTTTTTCTTTCTCTGTCTGAAAGTAATAAGCCACAGTGTAGTTGCCAAGATTATTTAATATGCAAAAAATCAGAAATAAAATAGATAGCTTAATCTATAGCAGAAATGCCAGAAGTTTCCTGAAATTTCCATGTAGCTGATATGGATGATCACTTCAGAGCTGTTTGTTCTTCATTTTTTTAAATTTATTTTTTAGCTGTAGTTGGACACAATATCTTTATTTATTTGTTTTTATGTGGTGCTGAGGATTGAACCCAGGGCCTTGCATGTACTAGGCGAGCACTCTACCGCTGAACCACAACCCTAGCCCCTATTCTTCATTTTTATCACATGGCAGGGGACGTAACTGAAGCATTTTTCATTATGAAGAACCAATATGTAGGTTTCTAAGAGTATAGATTTTGTTATATTGCGCGGAAACGCCCAGGTATAGGTTCAGAGGATGCTCAGTCTTTCTTGGGGATCAAGTCTGGACACTGATGAATAGCTCCCCCTGCTCCCGATATATCACTGATTATCTCAACTAGCAGGTTACATACATGTGAATTCGTTAAACATCTGCCTCCGTTCTTTATCGTGCCTGCCTGCTGTATCCTGTTGGAGCAGAATTAGGGCTAGGGTCTCTTATGTTAAAGAACTCTATGTTTTAAAAGCTGCCTCTGGCTGAGGGCTTATTCCTAGTTTGCAGACTCTGCCAGGGTAGGTAGTCCTGTCTGTGCAGCTCAGTGTGCTTAGACTTTTATACACGTTAACTCACGAGTGGTGGTCTGCTCTTCTAGCAGAAAGACACATTTTTATCTTGACTGTAGTTCCTTACTTAGTCTCTCGGTCTTTTTGTTGTTGTTGTTGTTGTTGTACTTTGCCTTCTGCTTTAATCCCTCATCTGTAAAAATGGATTTTATAATAGTATGAACCTCTTGGTGCTAGGCTATCAGAGGAGGTGTTTTGTAAATTGCTGGCCGTGGTCCCTGAATTATGGTGCCAGTTGTGAAGGCCGCTATTAGTCATTTTTCTCATTATCTTGTGCACGTGTTTCGTGGAGTCTGTAAAGTCAGAGATTTCACTATGAATTGATTTTCTTCCTCTTTTGCAATTTGGAGTTAGTTGGAAACTTTCAGAGTTTTCACAACCCATTTAGTCCCTTTGAGCATCTTTGTTGCCACATAAAGAGTCTCCAGAACACCGTCAGGGATGTCTTTCTGCTAAGGGGCCCTCCTATTTTCTGTTTTCTCTGACGTCCTCTGGACTTACTCCGACTCACATTGGGGTGCATTCACACATCCCTTAGTGATTTCTTGATTGTATTTTTTGTCTTTTTTCAGTTGTGGGTTCATGAGCTATAGCCCAGTGTCCTCTTGTAGCTCTGGGGGGTGGGTAGACTCAAGGTTTGTCTTATAGAAACAGGCCTGGGGGGTAACAGTCTCACATGGCTGTTCCCTGTGGGTTCATGGTGGGACTGAGCTCCTGGGGGTGTTGCCTACATTCTCTTAGGTATTGATCTTTGATGTGGCTGAGAAGGGTGTCAGGTATTAAAACCTGTCAATGTTTTTCTTGAAGGTGAGTGACCTTTCATTCCATGATTCATTAGCTACTTTCATTGCTATTCTGATAGCACGACAGTGTTTCTCCCTGGAGGACGTCGTGCAGCACGTGGCTCTCCCCTCTCTCCTAGCGGCAGGTAAGGCAGCCTGGAGAGCTGTGCTGGCTGTGGGCTCGCTGCCTTGGAGGGGTGGGTCGGGCTGTTAGAGCACAGGGTGGGTGCAGTAGGAGATTCTAGCTGTATGTGTGCTGGGGGTGGCTAGAGGTGGCAGGGCAGCCCAGACCCCGCACATTAGCCCTGGAGACAGGGAATGGGAGGCTGTTGCTCTCCCCAACCTGCCTTAGGAGCACTCCCATCTCAGAAGAGAGGGCTTACTTTTCTTGCTCTAAGGAGAGTTGATGTAGGTTAGAGCAGAAGACTTAACTTAGTAGGAAGCCTGAGGCCTGTCTTTCTGTCCTGCTTTCTAGCTTGTGGAGATGCGGACGCGGAGCCCGGGGCGAGGATGACCTGCCGACTGCTGCTTCATCTGTTCCGCGCGCCACAGGCCTGCTTCTTGCCTCAAGCCGCCGGTGAGCTGGCTGCAGCATGTCAGTGGATAGAGGCCGGAGCTCTAGGTTCTAAGTGACCGTGTGGGCTCTACGTTTTGTGATTTCCTTCCTGATTTTTGTGGGCTTGATCTGGGGGCAGTGAAGGAGTGAGAGGGTGCCACTAGGAGGGCTGGCAACACCTTCCATTTATGTAATATCAGGAAATATTGAGAAATCAAAACCGGGAGTTAACAGTCAATAAAAATACCTCTGCTCTTAGGCCAGGTCATCCTGGCGGGCAGTGCGGCCGGAAAACATACTATATATGTCAGTTCTGAGCCCCGCCATCCCGACTTAAGGGGATGGTGACTCACTTATCCTTTTCCTAAGGTAAGCGATGATTCCTAGGGTATTAGTAAAGCCTCTTCTTAGATCCCTTCCATCCACACGTGGGCATGTCTGTGTGGGAATCCTGCTAATCTTTTTGCTACATCTCTCTGAGGAGCAAAAACATTGTTTTAACAATTAATAATTAAGAAAAGGTTAAGTAAGAATACTGGCAGTGTGTCTTAGTGAACCCCAGCCTCAGGTTAAGCAGGCCAGTGGCAATTAAGCGCCCACAGCCCAACAGTGAGAGGCCCTGCCGGCTGGGGGTGATTATGGAAGATCATTAATGACGGTGACGAGACTGTTCAAGGCTTGTTGTTGTTTTCACAGGCAAACCTTTCCCCGGAATAAGATCGTCTTGCGATAGACACCTCTTAGCTGCTGCTCACAACAGCATTGAAGTGGGAGCGGTTTTTGCCGTATTGAAAGCCATCATGATGCTCGGTAAGACCTTCCTGGCCCTGCACTTCTTGGCTGATCACCAGATGTGGAGGCAAAACCATCTGTGTTCAGCTCAAAATCTAATTAATGTTGTTGAAAACCTGGTTTGTTTTGTTTGTTCTCCTGGAAAAAGAGAGCTGGCTTTCCCTGAGTCCATGGGCAATAGGGCTCTTAGAATTTCTGTCCCTCCTCTAGTCACCCTGGGGGTATTTAAATACACATACTATTGTTCTGTTTTAGTTGCTTGATGCTCCTTCTGATGTGACCTAGATTCTGAGACAGGGTTGCTTTGCCTTCAATTGTTGGCAGAAATACTACCCAAGGAAGGACAGGGATGACGTGGTGACATCCCCGAAGGCTTAGCTCTCAGCCAGGCTGTGTTCCAGGTGCAGAATACCAGGAAACCTGGAGCTTAGTCCGAGTGCTTCTGCTGAGTTGGAGACCCTGAACATTTTTTTCTGTCTGTTTTATTCATGAATCGGGTGATAATCACAATGATGTTTGTATTATTGATTAATCGGTATTCGCGGTCACAGTGATTTTTTTTCCATCTGATTCATAGTGTCCAAGACGTCCTGTATATCTTTTTTGTGTATGTGCTCCTGGAGTGACAGCACTGTCTTCTGCCCATCAAGTGTCGATGACATTTTCTTCTGTATGTCATAAGGAATGTGAATGGTTGGAAGACTTGAGTTCATAGTGCTTGATTCCAATTTTGAATACCCTCTTCTAGGCTTGACTACATAATAGTTACCTCTTACATTCTTAGTGAGCTCCCTTTGATCAAAACAGAATAACTGAATGATAGGAGCTGCTTTAGGTGGGTCTTAAAGGACACAAGTGAGGACAGAATTCTGTAATGCTTGACAAATGATGCCTGAGGATTCAAGGAACAATAACATTTTTCCATGAGGCCCTGGGTTCAATTGTTTGTACCACAGAAACAAAACAACAAAACCAGAGTTTTCACAAAATTACCTATTAAAAGTTCACTTGAAAAGAACATATGAATGTGTATTTTGTCTGTAATTGGGAATGCCCATGGATTCTGTAGCCAAAGGGAAGGGTAGAGCCAGCTATGGGCAGCAGCCTCTGCTCGAGCTGAGGAGGTCCTGGGGCAAGAGTGCCCACTTCCCTGCTCTGAGGGTGTCTCAAGGGAAGGGTGGCTCATGGGACCTACTGAACATACAAACCTAGGGACTAGATTTGTTACCCTGTTATTTCTAAGGCTCATTTGAGAAACCAGCAAGAACTAGGTTTTCACTAAATTAACTTTGGAAGCCTGAATCTGTAAGTGACCGAAGTTTTAATGGCAGAAACCAAGATGACTGCCATGTGGACACAGGCTCTTTGATTTATAGCACTGGTCTGATCCCAAGTAAAATCTGCCTACCTCTGAATATTCAAATAATATGGCAAATCCTCCAGGCCTGAAAGGTCAGGATACACCCAGTAAAGGTCAGCAGAGCCATGGCCTAACAGCCTCATGTACTCTATTGACCACACAGCTGCAGAAGATTCCAGCACCTCCTCCCAAGCCACCTCCCGCATTCCGGTCACTGATGTCACTGCCAGGTCCTCACCTGGGCCTGCAGTGGTGTGTGTCTTTGGATTGTTCCTGTAGAGGTTTTAGTGTCTCTGCCTCCCTGTGTTCTGACCAGCGTCGTCCCAGCTCCCTCCCCGTGGGTCTGCTGAGATGGGGGTGGGACCGTGGAACCTGCTGTGGTTCCTGTTTGAGGCTAGCTGTAGTGTGTCTTGGCACCTGAGCGTGGAGGATGCACTTTGCTACTTTAGAATTTGGTCTTTCAAGATCTTCGCTTCTGAGAATCTCTGTTGGATTAAGTAAACTCCCGTGGGTGAACAGTACTTTTTGTATTTGTGTGTTAATGGGGAATATGTGGTAATGTATTGGTGAGTTGAAGTGTGTTATTTATTCCTCTCCTCCTCTTGAGAATTTGCAAGTAAATATTAATTAAGCCAGTTTGATTTTTCAGATTTTTTTGGTATATTTTCAGCAGAGTCAGAGCTTTTCTTGGTGGGCCTGTGGGTTTTAACAGGCCTTGGGCACTAACCCAGGCTGTTTGCCCACTAGTTTCAGGCAGCAAAGGCCCAATCCAGACTCATCCGTGGGTCCCAGGAAACAAGGCAGGCCCCTGTGGGTGGGCAGAAGCTAGGCCCTGCTATTGCTGGGCCATCCCTCCTGCCAGCCAAAGCACACCCGGCTTTTACAATGGCCAGGGTTTCGTGTCTCGTGGCTGGGGATTCCAGCTGCCGGATATGTTCTGTGTGGCCTTTTTCTCCTAGAACTTTGTGAGGAGGAAGCAGTTTCCTGGGGGTGTTGGCTGAGCCTGTCAGGGAGTATCAGGCAAGGGGGTCTCACTTGGCTGTCAGAGAGGAAGCCAGCAGACATGGGTGATGGAAAGCGTCTGCTTTCCAGGGCTGCCTTAGTATGCGTTGCCCTTTTCCATCCCCAGGGAAATATATCTCTTGTCCAGAAGTTGGTAGTAAGGTGGGCTAAGGCAAAACTTTTCTCTTGACCTATGGATAGAAAATAAGTCATTGTAAGAGAAGAAATGGAAAAGGGACATCTAGAAGGGTGAGTAACCCATTCTTTTTTTTTTTTTTCCCTTGTCTAATAAGTCAAATGAATTTGATGCTTCAAATGTTGGTGAAATCAATGCTCTGTGATTATTAAGTGTGGTTCATGATGGTCTTTCTAAGTTTGGTGAAAGTATACTTAATTCTTTAAACAAAAGAAGGAGCAAGTTTCGGCCTGCTTTTTCTTTGTGTCTGATTCGTAGTCCTCGGGGTTCTTCATCCGTTTTCTTGATTCATTCTCTGGATTGCTGGCTGACTGGCTATGCAATGATAATGCTACTCACATATTTTAAATCCCCCCAAAGCTAGGCTCATTTGCTTCTCCAGTATGTGTTGGTATTTTGAACTTTCATGACTTCGCTTTTGTGATTCTGTTATTTAGGAGATGCCAAAATTGGCAATAACAGCGTCAGCTCCTTAAAGAACGATGACTTCACCATGAGGAGTTTGCGGCGGGAAGGGGCCTCGGAGGACGTCTGGCCTGCCTCTCATAGCTCGAAGCCCTGCGCGAAGAGCATCTCCATAGAAACGGCCAATTTAAGAGAATATGCTCGATACGTGCTGAGGACCATCTGCCAGCAGGTATTCCAGCAATTTAATTTGCCTTTTCCTTAAAATATGTCCTTTCTTTTGGAGAAAGGTGTTCATTATTGTAGGAAACCTGTACATAGGTGGGTTTTTATCCCCTACTGGCTTTATTTTGAAATAATTCCAAATTTGCTGCAAAGGTGCAAGAATAAAGTGATCCTTTATACCCTTTAGACAGAGTAGTCATTTACATTTGCCATATATGCTTTGTAAATCTATTTGTGTGTGTGAACATGGATACAGATATAGGTATTTTTTTTAAACCCTTTCAAGGTAGATGGCGTACTTTATTCTTCTTTACTTTTGAAGACTTCCGTCTTCATTTCATACCATAACCACAGCGTAGTTGCTAACATTTCAGAAGATTTAGTCTTGGTGTGGTACTATGCTGTCACTTGCTGGGCACATTCCTAGTTGGTCCTTATTGTGGTAGTGCTGGAACTGACTGGGTTTTCCTGGTAGATTTGCTGCAGGCCACACAACCCTGCCTCAGGACTAGAAGCAGTGTCTGTCCTCCAGGTAGCCAGCTCTGAAGGCACGCGGTGCCCTTGCCTGTCCAGTGGTGCTGGCCTTGGTTGGGTGGTCTTCCTTGTGTGGTCTGCGCTGCTCGCTCTGCGTGACAACCTTTGGGGAGTCCCTCGAGACGCTGCCGACCTCTGTTCCTCATTCCCCTCCCGCGTACCTCAGAGCAGTCATCCTGATTCTTGTCCAAGCCTGCCTTCCCCGAGGTGCTTCCCACTCCCTCCCCTCCACAGTGTCAGTGTATGTTCTGCTTAGGGAAGACCCTCCCCTCTTCCCTGTCTCCTTACTTATGATCCACATGAGTCATAAGGTCCTGTCCCAGGAAGGGAAGTTTAACACTCATATGGTTCCAGGGAGATTTAGTGGGACTCCTTTATCCTGGTGTTTGTCATTTTTGTTTGTTTTAAAGTATTTTCTTATTTTTGCTCCTTCTTTTACTTGCCCTGCCTCAGAATTACCTTGGGAATTAGGAGAGTGATACTTAGAAACAAGGTCTGGATGCTGAGTATACTCATTGCTATGGAGTACCCTCGCTCCTGGGTTCTCTTAGTGGAAAGAGCTAGGACAAAAGTGAATGCGCACGGGTGTGTGACTATGAGTTCACATGATGCTCCCAGTTCCACGCCAACCCACAAAGCTGTGCTTTACTTTGCAGCATTGCATATTATTATAGCCTTCTGCATAGTAAGAACCTTGGTTCCTTATAAAATCAATAAATTATTACTTACTTACAAAATACACCTAAAATAATTTCCAAATTGTTAGCATCTACCACTAGGCCTAACAAGCCTGCCAAGAGGAGTGGAAAGGTTTTTGCAGTTCACTTTTTACTTTTTACAGTAAATACTGTGATCTCACATTAGACAAAGGCACCAAGAGCATACATTGGAGAAAAGATAGCCTCTTCAACAAATGGTGCTGGGAAAACTGGAAATCCATATGCAACAAAATGAAATTAGACCCCTGTCTCTCACCCTGCATAAAACTTAACTCAAAGTGGATCAAAGACTTAGGCACTAGAATAGAGACCCAGTGCCTAATAGAAGAAGTATTAGGCCCAGATCTCTACCATGTCAGCCAGGACCTGACTTTCTTAAAGTGCAAGAAGTTAAAATCAAGAATTAATAACTGGGATGGATTCAAACTAAAAAGCTTCTTCTCAGCAAAGGAAAAAATTAATAATGTAATGAGAGAGTCTATAGAATGGGAGAAAATCTTTACCACATGCACCTCAGAACACTGATCTCCAGGATATATAAAGAACTCAAAAACCCAACACCAACCCCCCTCCCCCCCAAGTAACCCAATCATTAAATGGGCTAAGGAACTGAACAGACACTTCATAAAATACAAATGGCCAACAAATATATGAAAAAATGTTCAACATCTCTAGCAATTATAGAAATGCCACTTAAAATTACACTGAGATTCTACCTCACCCTAGTCAGAATGACAATTATCAAGAATACTTGCACCAATAAATGTTGGTGAGGATGTGGGGAAAAAGGTACATTCATAAATAAAGAATATGTAGTACATTTACACAATGGAATATTGCTCAGCCTTAAAGAAGAATGAAGTCATGGCATTTGCTGGCAAATGGATGAAGCCGGAGAATATCATGAGAAGTGAAACAAGCCAATCCCCCAAAACCAAAGGTGGAATGTTTTCTCTTATATGCAGACGCTAATTCCCAATAAGGGTATAGATTGCTAGGGAAGAATAGAGGTACTTTGGATTAGACAGAGGGGAGTGACGAAAGGGGAGGGGATATTGGGGTGGGAAAGATAGTAGAATGAATCAGACATTATTAACCTATATACATATATGGTTACATGACAGGTGTAATTCTACATTGTATACAACTAGAAAAATCAGAATTAATACTCCATTTATGTATGATATGTAAAAATGCTTTCTGCAGTCATACATATCTAATTAGAACAAATACAAAATTTTAAATTAAAAAAAAGACTGAAAAAAAATTACTTGGGCTTTCTCCCTTAGTATGAATACATTCCTAATTTGAAATCAAGTTGGGTTCATTTGTTTCTGTTTGCATTCAGTTTAGAGTCTTTTCCCTCAGCCTTATTATAGAATAACTACTTACAAAAGTTAAACTACACACAAGAGTATAATCAGAAATGTGTCCTTCCTCCCAAATCCCTTGCTCCTCCCTGCCCCAGCTCACCAGTTTTGTTATTTTCGGGTGTATCCTTGAAGTCCCTATATGTTTTGTATTTTGCTACAGAGGTCAAGTCATCAAGACCATGTTTTGTACTTTGTAGGTTTGTGGTCACCATGATAAAGTCCACTAAATAGTGACTTAGAGCTGAGGGGCACTTGTGCCTTGGTCCCCACTGTGAGTGCACCCTGTTATCACCAGAGGCATTTGCAATTGTTTTGATACCTGGATCTGACCAAAGCCAGCAGGCAGGCGAGTGCAGGAAGGGTGGTGGCTGGGCCTGCTGTGGACTTCTTGCAGTGGGTCCCAGAGGTCCAAGCCCATTGGGAGGCTCAGCCTGTCAGTGCTAGAAGCGAAAATTGATGGAATGAATGGATGAATGATTGATTTGATGCTTAGGAAAAAAAAATACTGATATCTGGGTACCAGCACCTGAGCTTGATTTCAGTGGTCTGTGGTCTGATGGGGTGTCTGGATGTGAAATCTTATAAACGCCACAGGCGACTTATTTAATGGATGGTTAGCATCGGGTCACTGGCATGGTGGTTTCAAAAGAGGCTTCATCTGAAACACATATAGGGTCAAATGAAACTTTTAACACTGATGATTTTTAAAACCATTTAGTACAAGAATTTGCACTTGAAAAAATGGTGAAGCAAAGCTGCTAAGAAATTTAACTGAGTAGCCACTCTCCAGAGGGCAGTCAGCTCTAGGCATAGAGCTTCCTTAAGTTTTTGGCAGGCTCATTGACTCAGCAAAATTATAATAATAACTGTATGGCAAATAGATGTGCACAGTTATTTTTTATAATGGTAATATATTCATAGTATCATAAAGAGAAAAATTTCTAAATATCTTATGCTATGTTCTTACCAGTGGAAAACATATTCCAGTATTATCTTTTTCTTTTTTTTTTTTTTTTGCTCATCTGTTTCCAATTTTTTTCCTCATTTAGGTTCCACTTTGTATTTTTAAGAAATCAAAATGCCAGAAATTTTGTACCTAACACTTTTTGCAGATACATTTTTATGGGTTATTTTTTCATGAAGCTTCTCCTCGGTCTCACGTGTCATTTTGCTCTGACTTAAGTGTATGTTACATAAACATGTGGAAAGCCGGTTGCTGTCCAACAAATGGCCTTCTTCCTTCCAGGAATGGGTAGGAGAACATTGCCTAAAAGAACCTGAAAGGTTGTGTACAGACAAAGAGCTGATACTGGACCCCGTGCTTTCCAACATGCAAGCACAGAAGCTCCTGCAGCTCATCTGCTACCCACACGGCCTCAAGGAGTGCGCGGAGGGTGACAACCTGCAGAGGCAGCACATCAAGCGCATCCTGCAGGTACCCTCAGCACGCCGTGCACTGCGAGAAGAGGGATCGGTTCTTCCCCTTTCATTGCTAATTCTTGATGCAGGTCAACTCTGGTTTTTATTCCCCCAGTTTTCTTTCCTGTAGAATGGCAACGAGTTAGTGCTAGGTAGGTGTAGATGCTGGGAATTGTATATAATCATCAGATAAATATTGGTATTTTAAGTCCGTGCTGTATTTACTTGAGAAATGATCTGCAGGGAGGGACAGGCTTAAATGTGTTATTCAAGAATTAGTGAAATCATTTTGGAATGGGGTCAATTAGATAATTGGATATTGTGAGTCAAAATTTTAGTTTTATTCGTTTTTAGTTCCTAGCTGAGTCAGGAACATTATATTGATGCTATTTATCCTTTTGAATATATGTAACAGGATTGGATCCTTTTACCCATGTAAATACTTGTATTGTGTAAGATCACCCTGCTCTTTCCTGAGAGTGGGTGTCCTGCCAGGACTGATTGTGTGTTGACATGGGTTGCCTACTTTCAATCCTTCTGTTTTCCCCAGAATCTGGAGCAGTGGACATTGAGGCAGTCCTGGCTGGAACTTCAGCTAATGATCAAGCAGTGCCTGAAGGACCCTGTGAGTAGCTGTTACAAGCCTGGGTGGCAAGAGCTGCGGGGAGCAAAGTCGGGCTGCTGCCTGGGATAACCCAGCCGCATGCGTGGCCTCTCTCTGGCCACCCTAGGGCTCCGGGTCTGTGGCTGAAATGAACAACTTGCTGGACAACATTGCGAAGGCCACCATTGAGGTGTTCCAGCAGTCCGCCGACTTGAACAACAACTCCTCGCACTCTGGCATGGGCCTTTTCCACCCCAGTGGCAACGGGGGCGCTGATACCAGTAGCACGAGGCAAAATGGAATCAAGACCTTTCTCAGGTATTTCTGTGTAGTTGACTGGGCTGTCTTGAACTTTACACACGTAATGGGCAAATGCATTCGCATAACTCAGTTATTTTTTTTTTTCATTAAGCTGCAGAAAATGTGAAGAGAATAATGACTGCTAAGTGACAGTTACTGTTATTTAATAGGTTAAAGGGCAAAGCCAGGGCAGGAGATATCTTAGTGTGTTCACTATGTGGTTAAGTCGGGCCCAGACTCTTTGTAAGTGCTGGTGTTATGAATGCACATGGACACCTGACCTTCATCCCCCGGGCTACTGTGTTCCTGGATATTCAGCATCTCAGAAACGCATTGGCCACCTCTAGTAACTGGCAGCTTTTCACAAGCCTCATGGTGATTTGAGTTCTGATTTAGATCCAGCAGGCATATGAAATCGCAAAGTAATCCTTGAATCATGAAAGGAAGATTTGTATCTCATCATTTTGATAAAAAATATAGCTGGTGAATCTTAAAATTAAAAAAAAATTGTGATTAGTATGATTATACATAGCAACATTTCATGTTGTGAGCATGATCAAAGAGTGTTGTTTGTTGGACAAAAGGATTATCACTAATCATAGAGCCAGAATCAAAAAGAAAAATGCTAAAAGATAGCTCAGTTGACGGTATCCTCCCAGAAGCACCTTTCATTGCTCCCCTGGGTAACTGTGGGTGGCAGGTGTGACCAGGGGCCTGGTCTTCAGGAAAGATAGTGCAGAAATCAAAGGGAATTGGGGGTAGTGTGTTTCTGGTGCACCAGAGTTGTGCTCTGAAGTTTCTGTGGAACTGTGAGAGCAGAGACTCAGGCTTGCTCGGGTGTAACGCCTATTTCTGATTTTAGTTCCTCTGAACGCAGGGGCGTGTGGCTGGTGGCCCCCCTCATCGCCAGGCTGCCCACCTCTGTGCAGGGGCGGGTGTTGAAGGCTGCTGGGGAAGAGCTGGAGAAGGGGCAGCACTTGGGTTCTTCTTCCAAAAAGGAGCGTGATAGACAGAAACAGAAAAGGTAGGCTCCTGGGGTGTCTCTGGGGGAGTTTGAAGGACAGCTGAGGAATTCTAGTACGCTCTACCTGACGGTTCTTACACCCAACGCCCACTGAAACTTAGTTTTTAAATGGAATGAAAAATCTTCTACTAGGAAAGTCCCTGTTCCTAAAACGTTCCAGGTTGTGAGATTTGCCACACTCATTCTCAACTTCACTTGTGCATCCAGATCCCTGCTGGCCTCTGAACTTGTCCACTCCAAGCCCCACATCCGATCCATGAATGGGATCTATAGAGCCGCCTGCATTCTGGATTTTATTTTTAATTATTTCTAACTTTCTTATTAATTAGGTACTCATGTTTAAAATACACAGAGCTTCAAAGTGTGGAATATGATATGTCAAGAAATTTGTGATGTTTTGAACAACCAACAATAAAAAATTAAAAAAAAATGAAATACACAGAGCTACTTTGTAATTATTGGCATGCTGAACCTTGAAGTACTTACCAATATTTCTGACATTTAGGGCTCTTGTGCTAGATTAGATATTAAAACTTCTAAGCCATAAACTAATTTTTGGATCACTGTTATTGATCACTAAAACCCCAACAATGTGACTCAGCATTCCGATAAAAAGAAAAACAACGATTCCTTGTATTTCGTAAACATTCCAGACATCCACATCCTTATCTCGTGGTTGGCAGTACTGTCAGTGGCTGCCCTTCCTGACCTCTCAAATTGCATTTGCTGGTGCCATTCATGTCTATACTGCCTCACTTCCCTCTCACTGGGCAGACAGGTGGTATTCCCGGGTTGAAAGTGTCCTATTCTGCCCCTGTGAGATGAAGCTTAATATTTTATCTTCGATTTTGTTTTCCAATGGAGCATGGATTCATCCTTGTTCTCTAATTGCAGATACTCTATTAAAAAACCAATTTAAAATAGAGTTTTTGCCAAATGCCTTGATGCCCCACTACCCATGGCTTTAGGCTGGTGGTACCCCTAGGTCACTAGCAAGAACCCCATTTTTGGAATCCTCATATCTTGCAGCTGATCCTAACTGTACCAACACCCTGCTGTTTGGTCTTGAAAACTTAAGGCAAAGCCCCCAAATTTTCATAACATACATAGAAGCCTGTTTCCTAGACTCTAAAATAAGAGTGTTGGCTGAGAAATTTCTCAGTTTTTCCTTGTATTCCATCCAGATCCCCCAGGGCACTCACAGCAGTGCAGATTCACCTCCCTGGGGTGCCTTCTGTCATCAGCACTATCCGCTATCCGCTCATTTAGAACCATTAGTATCTTTAACCTTGTAAGCAGAGGTGTGATTTAACTTTCCAGGCCTCTCTGGCTATTCCCTATCCCCCTTCATCTAATAGTAAATACACAGGAGCAGACACCCAGGGGACAGGCCCCAGGAGATGGGTGGATCAGCAGGTGCTAGCTGACCTTACTGTTCTTCCTTCCTGCAGCATGTCTCTCCTGAGTCAACAGCCATTCCTCTCGCTGGTCCTCACCTGTCTCAAGGGACAGGATGAGCAACGAGAAGGTCTGCTAACGTCCCTCCAGAATCAAGTGAACCAGGTAAAGGACCGCATGGTGTCCAGCAGGCCAGCAGCTCCCAGCAGATTCCAGTGCTGAGCTTACAGAAGGGCACAGCAGGCTTCCATTCAAGGCCAGGCAGTGCCCTGTCTCCTACCTGTTATCCTGGTCTCCGCAGGGGTAACAGACCTGTCATATTAATCATGCATAGCATAAATGTGTATAGATGGAGAAATCGAATGGCCTACACCCGGGGAGGCACAGTGACTGACACTCCCGCTCTGCCTCCCAGAAGCAGTCCACTCCTCAGGTGGGGCTGCCCCACCCAGCAGGGTCTCCAACTGAGCTCCATAGGCTCAGGAACTGTTTTACTGGCCTGCGAGAGCCGGGTTGATGCCAGCCAAGTGCACAAGAAAGTCACTTGTAAGCTGGAGGCCTGTTTGTTCCTTCACAAAAGCTTTGGGTTTTTTTCCCACTCCCCTAGTTCTTCTGGGCAGCTTGGGGCACTTGTGTTCTGTGTACTACATGGAGGTCAGAAACCTCAGTGCAAGGAATCAAGTCAAGTGAGTGGGAAGAAGAAGCCAAGGGTGTGAGATGGCCCGTCCCTGTGCAGAGCCGGTGGCCCCTTCCTGTAGCACTGTGCCTGTGGACACCGTGCCTTTTCCCTAGGGATACTGGAAGGACATGGACGAGGGCATGGTCTCACGTGTTTCTCTGGTCATCTCTCCCTTGCTGGATAGGATGCTTTTAAAATGCAAAGCACTTACTATCCCTGTGTCTAAGATGTTCCCATGTTTCTTTTTATACCTTGAATAAAAATCCAGTCTGGGCTAATTAGACCCCCCTAACAATTTGTAGATTGCTCTCTTCCGCCTGCTTCCTACCAGTTACCGCCTTGCTCAGCTTGCAGGGCCACATTGGCATGTTTCCTTCTGTTCTCCTGCTTCCCAAGCAAAAACACCTGCTCTCCCCTTTAGCTGGAAGGATTCCCTCTAGGTGCCAGCCTGGCCTGCTTCTCCCTTCCTTCAGGTGTTAGTTTAGAGAGGCCGTGGCGATTGCCCTCTGAAAATAGGGCCTCTGTCCTTGCCATCCCTGCCCTGCCTCGCCCTGCCTCAGGCCTCTTGATATACTTGTTTTGATTCATGCTGCTGCTATACTGTGAGCCCTGTGAGAACCTGTGTCCCTAAGCCCTGCACCCGGCATTCAGCCTGAGGGGCCCTAGCCTCCTAGAGAAGTTTGGGAAACACTCTGCCCATGGCATGTGCTGGCGGGACATCTGCTGGGAGGGTACTTCCACTTGTGGCTCTCCGCGGGCCATGCTGGGTTTGTTAGCTAGTCAGCCTGCCGTCTGGGCCTGGGTGTGGTCACTGTGGCCTGCCTTTCCTCAGTGAACTTTCCTGTCCTCAGCACTGGCCTGAGTCAGCGAGGAAATGAAGAAGCAGCTCACTTTCTAAATTGAAATGCTGCTCAGCTGATTGATGTCCACAGTTTTCAGAATAGTCTGTTGTTCATCAATGAATTAGTGTTCCTGAAGATAGCAAGCCTCCTTTTCAATAAGATCAACATAATACATTTGTTAGGGTTAATAAATGTGTTAAGCTTGAACTTGATGGCCTTCTGATGCCTTTTCCAAGACCTAGAGGCAGTACATGCAACTAGATAAGATTTACTTCCCCACCTTGAAAGGCAAATAAACAAAGCAATGACCAGGTTTCTGTGTGCACCGAGGAAAAGGGGCAGAGCTGAAATGTCATGCAACATTCCTTGTTAAAGCGGAAGTTGTTTTTGGCTGTCTGGGAAAGGTTTAGTTTTACTTTAAATATGAAAAAGATTCAGTTTTAACAGAGATAAAGTTTTTATTTTTCCTTTTTTTCTTTTTTGGGTCTTAGATTTTAAGTAACTGGAAGGAAGAAAGGTACCAGGATGACATCAAGGCTCGGCAGATGATGCACGAAGCTCTGCAGCTGCGCCTGAACTTGGTAAGGGGTGTTTCTAGTGTGCCCTCTTTGCTCATGGATGTTTGTGACCATGGCTCCAGTGCTCACCTGTGTCCACGAGCAGAGCCTAAATATAATCAAGACCTCAGGACTTTCCCATCTCTCTAGCCTTCTCTTCTCCTGGCTCTCCTTCCTGTCTGTGTTGAGTTCCAGACAGCAGAAGGTATTTTAAGAATGATTCATCCTCTCTGTCCCCACCCCATCCAGCCCACCTCCCTTCTGCTTCAGCTTGTACTGTGATTGGTTCTCAGAGGACTCAATTTTGAAATGAGCACTGGCTTTTGTGATACTTCTTTAAGAACCTTAAAGTCCTTCAACTCAGCATCGTGGGAGACCTCCTGTTAGATTTGTTAAGAAGACCTGCCTCACAGGGTGCTGTATGGAAACGTGGGCTTCCTCCCACACAGTGCATTCCTTTGCATGTCTCTTTTCCCTGGAGAGTGGCTTGCCTGATGTTTGGGTGGTTGTTTTTAACTTAATCTTCATACACAGGACCTGGCAGGTCTTGGGCCAATCCCCTGTTCGTCATTACATCTGTGTAGTGGGCATTTCCAAGCGGTCCTGGTCTCAGGTTCAGATTAAGTAGGGACAGAACAGCACCAAGATGCCAATAATTGGATTAGAGAGTTTTGATTATATTTAGGTTTAATTCAACTACAATTGCATCATAAAATTGAATATCATGAAAGACTAGGAAGAAAACTAACTGTATAGGTACCACACTTAAATATTACCCTTTTCATTTTTCAATGACCAAACTGTGTAAAGAACCCAGTAGTAGTGATAGTCACAAAGCTAGTGAGAAAGAAGTTAGAGCGATCTGTCCTCCATAAAGTAGAGCATCTCCCCTTCTGGCCACATGAAGTGAGGGCTAGTGGTCTTCTCTCACTCTGTGTTTGCATGCCAGGTGGGAGGGATGTTCGACACAGTGCAGAGGAGTACCCAGTGGACGGCAGAATGGGCCCTCCTGCTGCTGCAGATCATCACCTCAGGAACCGTGGACATGCACACCAACAAGTACGTTTTGCACCCTTAACATGTGTTCTGTCGTGTGCGTGCCTGGCATTTGGATAGTCTGGCCTTGATAGACTGACAAATGCTGCTACATCTTATTGATTCAGGTGTCATTAAAAATTGTGCCATCAGTAGAAGTGCCCAGTTAATTAAGTATATTTTAGTTGTGCTTTATGATGAAAACAGTTGTTCTCCTTCCCCTTTAGTGAATTATTCACAACAGTCCTTGACATGCTGGGTGTTTTGATCAATGGGACATTAGCCTCTGACCTATCAAGTGCATCCCCAGGAGGCTCAGAAGAGAACAAACGTGCATATATGAATTTAGTAAAGAAGTTAAAAGTAAGTTTGTGATTGGCTTATGTTATAAATTGTTTATTATCTGGTGCATTTTATTTTATTTTTACTACTGGTTAATTTAAATATTTATTGCATTCAAATTAATTTAATGTATTTGCTGTTTATGTCACTTCAGCTCACCAATACCCCAAACTTTACAAGCATCCAAAAGATTGTTTTTAAATTAAATATTAAAACACGTGTAATTTTTTAAGAGACATTAAACATACATTATGAAATACATAACCAAAATGCCAACATTGAACCTAGGATAAATCCAAGCTCAGACTTGTGCATGTAGTTCAAAAATAAGCATCTGTGTTGATATTTGTAAATCCACTCACTTGACTAACCACTGACACATCATTTGAAGCAAACTGTAAATAAATAGCACAACAAGGAAAGTATATCTTATCCGCTGATCTTAAAATAGCCAATAAATAAATAAGTGGTGGTTACCTTGTGGTCTGTCCCTGGACCCCAAGTGCTCGGCGCCAGCTCCTGTCCTCTAGTTGCAGATGGCACCCTGAATTTTGTCACTTCAGCACTGTGATGTTTGTTGTGTAACAACAACTGCATATGTGTAGGCTATTTTCTACTTAAATAGAAGAAATGAAACAGGCCAGCCTGACTTGATCCTGTTCCCCAGACCACGTTCAGGGTTCAAGAACACGCTGACTTCAAAAAGGGAAATGCTCCAGGGGGAGCTTCCTCCTCGTCAACTTTTGCCTTCACGGTCGTTTCTGAGTTTCTGGCCCACTTCCCTTTCTCACTTTCTTTTTCCTTTCTTTCTTTCTTTCTTTCTTCCTTCCTTCCTTCCTTTCTTTCTTTCTTTTTCCTTTCAGAAAGAGCTGGGAGACAAGCGGTCAGAGAGCATTGACAAAGTTCGGCAGTTGCTGCCTCTGCCGAAGCAGACGTGTGACATCATCACCTGTGAGCCCATGGGCTCCTTGATCGACACCAAGGGGAACAAAATCGCTGGATTCGACTCAATAGATAAAAAACAGGCAAGAGTAAATGTTTTTCTTGTGCACGGTGCAGCTTTTCACAGAAGCCAGATATGTTTCTAGAGGGTGTACACACACCTCAGTTTTGCAGTTTCTTGTTTTGTTGTTTTTTTGAGGCACACTCTTGTCATCTCAATGCAATGGTCATTGGCATCATAATGCAAACAGATCTTTGAAGACCTTAATTTATAAGGTTTACCTGGATTTAAGGAACTTTCTGAAATCTACCAAGTGAAAACTAAGTAAAAGCTTAGTGTCAAAAACCAGCAAAGTTTTTATCTTACTGCAGAATGCAAGAAGAGTGGGTTTAGAAAAGATGATATTTATTGATAAACATTTTCATGCACTATAAGTAAGCTCTTTTGAGCAGAATTATTTCAATATATGATATTTCATATTCTTACGAAACAATATTAACTAAGCACTTGCTTTCTATAAGAGATTAAGCAGGTTTGCTGCGTGTAAGAAGAGTGGTCACTCAGTGAACACTGAGCAACCACAGATGTTCCACGGTCACAGAGATAAAAGCAGAGCTGTGCCCTCAAGCAGAAGTAGGTAGACAATTAACAGTGAGATTGTATTAGGTGGTCTGGGGAAGGGCCTTCAGACGCAGATCTGGGCGGTGGTCAGAGCAGGCTCCCTGGTGTAGTTGACACGTGGGTCGTTTTGAAGGAGGGAGGGAAGAATGTGGGGCTGGCAGACAAAAAGATCTTGAGGAGATGTGGAGAGAGTGTCTTCTTGGGACAGGGTGTTCTGCTGTCACGCAGACTCACCTGAGCACCCAGCACCAAGTGTGGCCATGGAAAGAGAGAAGGCTGGGCTGTGATCCTGTTGAATTTGGGCTCCCTGGTGGAGAGACAGCCGGAGCCCCCTTGGACGTGTGCTGTTTATGCCCAGACAGATAGTAGGAAACAGGTGGTTATTTTACAGGTGGTGATTGAGCCCTGTCACCCACGTAAGAGCAAGTGTATCTAAGCATTACATCCTGTGGAATGACCCGATAGTTATTGGGGCGGCTGTTTTGAGAGAAAATGTGTTCAAGTTGGTATATGAGAGAAAGTAGTAAGAAACATCAGCAGTTCACGTCAGAAAAAAGAACATTTTATTTTCAGAATAGCAGTCCTCTTCTAGAGCATCAGAGACTCGCTGGGACTGGAAGGCCGGGCATGTTCCCATGTCCCGCTCTGTCACAGGACCGCTTTATCAGGCCTGGTTTGTTAAGTGCGTGGAGGGGCCGCATATTGAGTTAAGTGCTCTGTGGTTTGCATTGAAGTTAATCTGAACCCAGTTAGAAGTGATTGTATCTTGACCCTTAAATTTTGTGTTATTTTAAAAATAATAAATAGATGTTGGAGATTTAGAACTGGCTATAATTTAGTGAGAAAGATTACTTTTCAATATATTTTAGAACTTTATCTACTTGTTTTGCTAAAGCAAACTAAATGAAAAATGCTGTTTTATAGTAAAATACACTAGATGATGTGGTTTTGCCTGAACAGAGTGTCATGTGGTATAAGGAACTGTGGACCCATGTGAGTCCTGAGCTCTGGCCACTGCCCTTCGGTGACTTGGCCGAGCTACCCTGTCTGCTGTGACCTGGGCTTCTCCAAAGCCCACGGCCAGCCTGGTGCTCTCTGGGCCACCATGCTGGCAAGCCTGGCTTGTGGATCGGGGGATCTGAGGGCCGTTTCACAGAGCATTGTTTTACCCTAGGGCCTCCAGGTCTCTGCCAAGCAGAAGGTGTCCCCGTGGGACTTATTTGAGGGCCAGAAGAACCCCGCTCCTCTGTCCTGGGCCTGGTTTGGGACCGTCCGTGTGGACCGGAAAGTGATCAAGTACGAGGAACAGCACCACTTGCTGCTGTACCACACACACCCCACACCCAAGCCCCGGAGCTACTACCTCGAACCGCTGCCCCTGCCTCCTGAGGAGGAGGAGGAGGAGCCCGCCTCACCCGTCTCTCAGGAGCCAGAAAGGAAGTCAGCCGAGCTGTCAGATCAGGGGAAAACTGCAACAGAGGAAGAGAAGAAGAGCAGGGGCAGGAAGCGCAAGACGAAATCCAGCTCCAGGGGGGATGTGAGTGGGAAGGGAGGGCTGGATCCTTAGCCTGCAGGTTGGGCCGATAAAGGACGGAGGACGGTGGATGCAGGGCAGGGCAGGTGGATGGAGGGCGGGCGGATGGATGCAGGGTGGTGGATGCTGGCCAGGCCGCACCCCAGAGACATCAGTGTCAGCTGACAGGACCTCATCCTCCAGGCCTGCATGCTAACTGAAGGGCGGGGATGATGGCCATGGACCGCAGAGTTGAAGCTTTGTGATTTTTCCCTCCTCCACTTTTAACAACCTTGTTGTATTTTAGGCTTCTGTCTTGAATGCTATTGGGCTACTATTTCAGTGCCTCCTTAGGTTTGAAATTTTAATATTTTGACATTATAAAATACCACCCTCAAATATTTTTATTACAAGATATGTTTAAAGTATTTATTGTATTTTGGGTGGTTGATATCGTCAGCATATTAACCAAAAGCTCCATGATTTCCCCTAGATACAGTCGCACCCAGCATGGCCATTAAGCTATTCCTGGGGTATCGCCTTTATTGCAGGACTGGGCCCTCCTGCCTACTCCACTTGTTCACCATCTTTCATATTTCATAAAAGATGAAGTAATCCTAATTTAAAATAGTTTATCCCCTCACTTCCCTGTTGGTATTCCTTACCAACAGCAATATTTTCTTTCAAACATCAGAGATGTATCAGACAATAATTTGGAAACGATTCTATAGAATGTGAGATGTAACCTTTAAAATATCTTCCACTCAAGTCACTTGGAAAATAGTTGAGAGAATTTGAATATTTTTCTCTAAAATTCAAGGATGCTCTTGCTGCATGACGTAAGAAACATTCATGGAGAATCACTGTAGTTCACCTATGTCAAAACCAGGCTGGCCGACAGCTCGGTGGTCATCATTGTTCTACAAATGGCGGCCCTCTTCTGGGGCTGCTCGAATGCCAGTGGCCCTCCTAGATGCTCTTCCTGTCAATATTGCTTAGTCTGAGCATTTGTTTAATGTGCTGCAGGTGGAGCCTCCCCTGTGGGGCCCTCCCAGCTTGCACATGCACAGGGGTAGACTTCTGCCCTTTTCCGCCTCTTGTTCCCCAAGGGACTCTGGTCAGGTCCTCTCCTGCTGACCTCCCGGAGCCACCTGCTCCCTAGGAGACATGTATTTTTGACACTGAGATTTCTACTGTCCCTCACCCCTTAGGGCTAGATTAGGGAAGAGTGGGGAGTGGAGACGCTCTGGTGCGAGCCTGTGCACCACTGTGAGGGACCTCAGGGGATGAGGTGAGCAGGTAAGAGACTGTCCAGCAGGAGCTGTTCTGAATCGTGGGCCTCTCTCCCCTGAACCCAGGAATCCAGAAGGCTTCAGGAGATGTAGCCTCGAGGACGCATTGTCAGTTGTGGGCCTCGTTCAGTGTGGGAGATGGGGTGCGCTTTCAGCATTTTGCTTTTTGGTTTGTTTTGTTCTTGGGGTGCTTGGGATCGAAACAGGGTCTTGCATGTGCTAGGCAAGCACTCCACAATGGGCCTGCACCCCCAGCCCCACTTTCAGTATTTGAAAAAGTAGTTCAAAAGAGATCATTTCTGCGTCTGCCCACTGCAAGGCAAGTACTTTTTATTTGACTTTATTTCATGTTGTTGGTGCTGGGGTCAAACCCAGGCCTGGTGCGTGCTAGCAGGTAGTCTCCTACGAAGCTGCATTGCCAGCCAGCTATGCAGAGGAGTGTTTTGAGAACAGCCTTCTTGCTTTTCATCTGCCCTTTTATTAAAATAGCTTTGTACACTGGGGCAGGAGACATTTCAAATACCAAATAGGGGCTGGGGCTGGGGCTCAGTGGCAGAGCGCCAGCCTAGGATGTGTGAGGCACTGGGTTTGATTTTCAGCACCACATATAAATAAATAAATAAATAAATATGCCAAACAGGAAGAATTTGCATTAATTTGCTATGTGTTGTACAGAGGTGAACTTTCTGCTTTGTCTTTCCATTGAAGGAATATCCACAGAGCAGCGTGTACCGAGTGCCTCCCAACTACTCACCCATTTCCTCCCAAATGATGCACCATCCACAGTCCACCTTGTGGGGTTACAACCTCATGGGCCAGACCCAGCAGCCCGGCTTCTTCCTTCAGAACCAGGCTCTCACTCCAGGTACGTGGGAGGAGGGCACAGTTGGATCTGTCCAAGATGAGAAATAGTCTGGGGTCCTTGCTGCTTTTAACACGAAACCGCCACAAAACTCATGAATTGCAAGAAGTGAGTGATTAATTGACATTCCCTCCACTCAAAATGTGTTCTTCTAAACGAAGGTTCCAGCTCAGTGTGCTGGCTCACAGCAGTGGCCCCCGCTACTCAGGAGGCTGAGGTGTGGGGATCACTTGAGCCTCAAGGTCAAGCCAGCTCGAGCAACTTAGTGAGATCCCATCTCAAAAATGAAGGAGTAGATAAACAAAATTAATGTTTCAATTATGAGTATATGTGCGGATTTTAGAATTTCTTCCAGTGTTAGAATAAAATCACCATTAATTAAAGTCTAAACTATGAGATAATGTTGATTAAAGTTCTGTGTTGTGAAATTTACATTTAATCAGATATCATTTAGAAGACTAGACAGTATCATAGTGTCTTTTGTCTTCTAATATGAAGTTTAAATCATATCATGAATCAACTTGGAAATTTGGTTCAGCAGGTACATTTTAGATACAACAAGGAAAACTACCATATCTATTGTGAATGTTCTGGCTTGTAGCATTGTTTTCCATTTGAGCCTAATTAGATTTTATAATCCAAGGGAAGATTTTTTTTTTTAAATAAAAACATTCTCTTAATTAGAAATCAGTTCAATTTGAAGGACAAAAATGCCTATAATCTTTTACACCATTAAGTAAAGTTTGTCATGCACACAAGTACATGGGTAAATTTTAGAGTCAATGTCATGTATATGTGGCCCTGTCAGGGTCCTGGCAGAGCAGGATGTGGCACCTTGGGCCCCTGTGCTGGCTCTGCCACTGTGCTCTGCGTCCAAAGTCTGTGTGGGTGAGGCTGTCAGTGCCAGCTGCCCTGTTGGAATTGCCAGCCACGCTGTCCTTGCACTGTGCACCCCACTCCTTCCTGCTTTGCCAGAGCCTCAGCTCTTCTCGTGTTTTGCTTTCTTATTCTGTTACCTTCCCGCCTTGTGGAGTCGAGGGTTTCCCCCATTACAGTCACCACAGTGTCCCCAGGGAGTGAGAGCCGCCATGGCCTCTGAAAAGCAGACTGTTGGTGGGCCCAGTGGTATACGCCTGCAGTCACACTGCCTAGGGGATGAGGCAGGAGGGTCCCTTGAACCCAAGACTTCAAGGCCAGTCTGGACAATGTGGTGAGACCCATCTCAAAAAATGAATAAAATAAATAAAAGGCCATTGAGTGAATGAATGTAGACTGCAATGATCACAGAGTAATCAAACTAGACATAGTAATAAATTTGGAAAGCAGGTTACAGCTTAATAATCCTAAGGTCTGTGTCATCTTTTCAGCCATTTTAAACTTGTTAGGTGTTGAAGAGAAACACCAGGCTGTCTGCACCGAAGGTCAACCTGTGTATGGCCACGCGTCCTTTCCCTGGCATATCACTAAACGGTGTGTGGGTTGAAGACCTTTAGCCATAGGCTCGTGTAAGGAAGCAGTTTTGAAGAAGAATCATTTCTGAGGATATAATGAATTGGTTTTTATATAAAAAAAGAGCCTTGCGACTTGTAGCTGTGTACGCACAGCACGATGCCACTCACGTGGTTTTAGGGCCAGGCAGCTCTGCCCCATGTACACACACTGCTACCTGCCTCCCCTCTGTCCATCTTGTGTAGCTGTCAGCATGGGCACAGTATGCTGAAATGCCAGGGAGTAATGGACACTCAATTCTCAATTCAGAATATCTTCAGTAGGAGGTGAGGCGATGGGCGCAGAGTCTTTAACATAACAGGTTTTCCATGTGAACCCTCTTGGAATATTTGTTTCCATCAAACAAATTGCTCATTAGAAATTATGTCATCTGTCTTTACTCAGAACTTTCCTTTCATATACATCAAAGAATATAGACTATGTTCAGGGGAGGAAGGATTGGCATTCATTGTAAAGCCAGAAAACGTTGAAAAAAATTTTTTGATTCATTCTTGCATTTGACAGGTTATATATGCAAATGTGCTCAGGATTCCTTTGATTTCTTAGGCAGCAGATCATTGTGCCCAATTTATTGGGTTTTCAGCCTTCAGAAAAGAAATGTTTTGTCTTTATGTTCATGCTATTTAAAATGTCAGAATATTTGAAGTTTTTATTTTCATGCCTTTGTTCTACAAAACAAGCATTCTTATTTTGCCCATAGTGAAAAGGAGCTTAAGCAACATGAGCTTCAAATCTGTTTAAAATTTATAAAAGGTTTGTATGCCTAGCTCAGGGTAGTGGCCAAAATATACCCAGGATGTGTTTCATGCAGGTAATTTGTTCTGAGGGCCTCAGGTAAGTTAAACCCACACAGTTCTGGAATTATGCCAGATCCTCCTTGTTTCAGGCCTTTCGATTTGTAACCAAAGTGCAGCCTCTGTTAAGGTATTGTGATTATAGCTCTGACACTCTCCCCATCTTCTGGGAATGATGCCACTCAACAAATCTTCAACATTTGCAGCATGGAGGTCAATACCTTATTTTCCATTTTGCTCTTAAACTGAGGCTGAGAGGATGAAGTCTCTGCGTGTTGACAAGATAAAGAAGAGCAGTTGAGATTGCCTACTTAGAAAGCCCTTCCTTTGGTTGCCTTGTAGGTGGCTCCAGGTTGGACCCTGCAGGCTCCTTTGTCCCAACCAATACCAAGCAAGCTTTGTCCAACATGCTGCAGCGGCGCTCGGGGGCCATGATGCAGCCCCCCGCCCTCCACGCCATCACCTCGCAGCAGCAGCTGATCCAGATGAAGCTTCTGCAGCAGCAGCAGCAGCAGAGGCTCCTTAGGCAGGCCCAGGCCCGGCCCTTCCAGCAGGTACGTCCAGGTCCACAGCACAGTGCCCTGCGTGCTGTTCCCGCCTCTGGCCGGGGTGAGGTCGGCCTTGCGGCTCATGTTCCTCAAGCGCATGTCCCATACACACGTGAGCATGCAGGTCTCTCTCCTTTATAGAGCATATGAGTCATTTTCCTCCTCTAAATTTTATTATCACTGATCAAAGAAGGTTGATTAACAGCATGTCTCAAAATAAAAAGAAGCATAATGACATTCTAGTTAATTAAAGGAAGGCGCCTTTTGCCCTAGGGGGTCCCTGCTCAGCATTCCTGCCCTGCTACAGCTCCTGTCAGCTCCTCTGTCCCATGTCAGTGTTAGATCGGTTACTTCCAGATTGTCTTTCTGAAGCTGGGGGTTGCTTAGGCTTCTGGCCTTGACTTTTTGGTTTTTGTTAATCCTTAATAAGGTCCATAGCAGAATAGCAGACTGTGAATAAGTGACAAATGGCACTCAGTGTGTGGGGACATTTAATTCTCAATTCATATATCTATTCTTATGCCCTTTTAATAAACAGTGTTTGATCAGTGAAAGTTGCACAATACTTAGAGTAGATTCAGGAAATCTATGAATCCATACAAATGTATTTAAGTAAAAACAGTGAGATGAGATAGCGACTCTTTTCTAGTGTCCACATACTTGTTTATTTCCTGGAGTTTCTGACCTGGGTGTGCAGTTTGGATAAGACCTCATCCTGATGGAGCATGTGCTGTCTGCCCAAACATAGCCAAGCACGGTGTTAGCTGTCCTGGTTCCACGGCACCCCGTGACCATTTAGGTAGCTTTGCAATCCTCAGATGGACTCACCATCCAAAGATGTGCCATGCATCAAGAAAAAAATCATAGAATTTTTGAAACAGCAAGAAATTTGAATGCTTTATTTAGAATTTATCTTTTGAGTAATTTCCTAAACATATCTCCATTGTGTAACTCAGGGCACTTCTACGTTTGGGCCACTTAGTGATTTGGGGGATGGAGGTGGCAAGATTAGTTATTCATTCTAAAAAATGATCCATAGTTACCTGAGTTACAAGAGGGACCAGGGAGAGGAGGCCAATTGACGTGGGAGGATGTGGGAAGGCATCGTTGCTTGTGGTCTCTCTCTGATCTCCAGGGACTGGCATAACCCCTGGATGTCAGGCAAGGTGGGCCTGAGCTGCTTCTTACATAAATCCTGAGTCTTGATTAAAATGTCTCAAAAACCATTGTTTTGCTGAAATAATCAACCTGTTTGGAGCTATTTAAAACATCATTGGGTCTTTAGCTCTTCTTGGGGATGTGCAAAAGTAGTTATGAAATTCCTTCAAATCTTTATTGAGATGGATAAAAAAATTGCTAGAGGTTGATAAACCATTGCAGTATAGAGGGTTTAGCTCCCTTTTAGAGCAGTCAAGCCTAAGCAAAGTCTGCCCTGTTTATTTCTCCATGTCACCTTGTTATCACAAGCTATTCTCTTTATTTATAGCCCACTTTCCAGCTATTCCTGCTGAATTCAGCTTTGAATCACCAAAAAGGGCTCTGGGCAATGGATTAGAGCCACTAAGCTGTTCACGGGTGGACATGCCTGTTCTCAGAAGCTCCTATAGCTTCCTATAGCGGTCACAAACGATTCCACATTAAGCCAACATTTTCAAAGAGGTTTAATAGAATAAATTCTATGTGGTTAAAAGACATCTGTGCCCATGTGGAGAATGCTAGCTTGTAACCAGTGCCTTGGCTGCTGCCCTTCCTCCCTCAGCTTCCTCAGGGACACAGGCCTCCTTCACTCTCCACATGCACCATCCAGGGCTCGGCTGAGCATGCAAAAATAGGGGAGTCTACAGCTGTCCATGCAGTTCTTACTGGTGTGTGTGTGTGTGTGTGTGTGCGTGTGTGCACGTGCATGCTGTCATAATGTTAGGGTTTTTTTTTTTTTCTTCTTTAAAATTTTTTTTTTTAAATTTACCTTTTAAGGTCATTTTTTTTTTCCAAGTGGTAAATGCTTGCCTTTGTGATAGTGGCTGTACAATAGTCATCAACTCTTCTCCCTTTAAATTCTTCTTCTTTTAGTTTTGTTTTTGTAGTCATCATTTCCCCTCACTCTCATCTTTCATGATTGAAACTCACCTTGAAGTCTCCGAGCTTCCACCAGCTGCCACGCCTGGTTTTTCTCTCCCGTCTTCAAGTGCTGAGTAACTGAGGGACATGACATCCTCAGGAAGAGAGCCACACACACCGTGGGAAACAGTGATCCTGCAAGAGGGACAGAGATTTGAATGTGGTGTTTCCCCAGGTCTGTACACAGGAGGCTGTGCAGAGATTTCAACAGTAGATGACGCACGGCAGTTCATATGCCTGGAAGCTGGCTAAATACAGTTTTGCAGAAGGAAAACCTTCTCCTGGTAGTGATCCTCTTAAATCGGTCATAGAGCAGAATTACAGAGTTGTTAGAGTTTGTGGTGCTGAGCACAGTTTTCTTATTCCAGAGGTCCTTTTCCCTAATTGTAGCAAACACGTTGAGATGTTTATTCATCTTACTCTTCACAGCTGATCTTGGCATTTCTACAGGTGCTTTCCCATCCTGAGTGGCCCCAGGCCCTGGTGGGGGCTGCTTTCTCGTTTTTTAGTGGCCCCACTGGTCACCTACTTTTGTTACAAGGTCGAGCCTTGGGCCTGTTTGTACTGTGTCATCCCTTCATCCACTGAGCACAGGAGATAAAGGTCTGAGATGCTCATCAAATGCAAGCATGCAGGATTTGAGCAGCTGTTTTCAGACGCCCAGAGCTGCTGGATAACTTGAGTCCCTAGCATTATGACTATTATCTACATGCTCACTCCTCTCAGCTGGCCCTCTGAGTGCTTCCAGAAGAGCTGACCCCTACAGGGACCTCTGCTCCTGTTGTTTCAAAATCAGATGCAGCAGAGGAGACTTAAACTTCTGAATTCTGGACATGTCTCAGTCCTTACAGAACCCAGCCCCCTTGTGCTGGTCCACGATGAAGCTAGAATACCATCATAAACTAACCTTCTAGTTCCTTCTGCTACACAGACTAGGTGTGAGGGTCAGGCAGTCCTATAATTTTCTGGTATGTACCATCTTCTATTTCCTCAGGAATGTCTGGAGATGTTGTTTTAGGGTCTAGTCAAATTATTTGAGCTAATAATCATTATTACAATTGAGTGTGTCTTCTTACAGCTGTGTGGTCTGAGCGCAGCACAAAGATGTTTTGACAAGGAAACCTGTTTTCCTTCTTCCTGGTTACAGTCTTCGTCCAGGAAGTGAGTGGCCTCCCTTCTTTCTCACTGTCCCTTACCTAGAAGGAATGTCCTGGTGACCACACTGTGTCCCAGCCTCGTCTATAAACTAGAGCGCATTAATGCTTCTTCATAGGGCAGCTGTGAAACTAGTGAAGGGTGCAGGTAGCAGCTCTTACAACAGTGGCCAGTCACACAGTTGTCATAAGTCTCAGAGAGTGTTAGCTGCTGGACATGCTGTTTTGATTGTGGTTTATGATTTATTATGGTTTATTATGATCATGGTTTTCTTATTTGAAATTCTTATCCCATAAAAGTAATCTTTTTTCCTTAAATGTGTTAAGCATGAAAAAGGCACATCAGATGCTTTTCTTGCATAGTTACATTAATTGTCTCTAATGAGACTGACTTGGCAATCCTTTGCTCGGTGACTTAGTAGAACAAACTGCTAGATAAAAGCGGTGTTGTCTGCTTTTCCTGGTAATCATGTCAGCTTACTGGGGTCTGTGTTTTTACTTTCACTGTTTAATTCTGTGTTCTAAGCCTAGATGGGGACATTCCCATTTCAGAGTTACAGCAGTGTCTGTGGAGCCCTCACAGAGTGTGGCATACTGCTCCAGGTGCTTTCCCATCACCCAGTCGCATACTAGGTGCTTTCCTTCTGACTGCATGAACTTCCTCCCCGAGGAAAGGGACTCTGTTGTAGAGCCGTGAGTTGTGCTGTTGCTTTATCCCAACTTCTCTTTCAGTGCTTAAAAACATTTTGCCATTGTTTGTAGTAATCAACGCCAGTTTGTTTCATTTTAAGAATCCAGAGGATGGTAGGCAAAACATATGTCTATCTTTTAAATGGAGAGGAATTTGGAAGAAAGCAGTGGATTTAGGTCTAAGGTAGTGAATCCTGAGGAATTGATGACCAAGACCCAGGTCCAGCTCGTGGTAACTGGTAAGCAGATCAGGTGGTCAGCCACCGGCAGATCTCAGCTTCTTTGTGCCCACATTAGGGAGGGGCTAGGTAATTTACAGAGGGCAGGCTGGCTAGCTCAGCTTCCCACAGCCCGCAGCCCCTGGGCTAGAGTGAATCTGGGACTTTCCCATGACCCAGGCCCCAGGGACTTGAGCAGCCCCTGCTGGCTCCGTGAGGGATCTCACCCCTCAGGGTCACATCACTGTGGGAATGCTGGCTTCCTTTTCTCTCTCCCTCCCACTTGCTCTTTAGCAGTGCAGTTCAAGAATCAGTACATCTTACATGCCCCGTCTAGCTTCATTGAATAATGCTGTTCTGTATTTGCTGTAGATCATTTTGTAAAAAAAAGGATCAGTACAGATATGAAAGAGGATCTTGTGTTTCCTCTCTAGAGAGAGGTGTTAGTGTGTTTTTCTTTCTTAAAAATGTTTTTACCCCTTTACTGTACACTTTTGCATCCATTGACCTGAACATTGTACAGTGTTGCTTTACACGTTGGAAACTCTCTGTAACCGTATGGTTGGATTGTTTTGAAACTGCGTGTGGCTAAATCCTTAATTATACCCACTTTGTTACACCTAGTTTTATTCACTCTTTTGTCCTGTTGGATGCCATTCTGTCATGTGTATTAGCATGTCATTTGCTCATTCTCCTGCTGATGATTATTTAAATTATTACCAGTCTTTTTTTTCTTATTGCTAACAATGCTGTAGCAAGTATTCTCCCACATTTCTTCTGCACATGTGGAGAATTTAAAGCTACATGCCTGAAGGCGCAAGTGCTG